AGTTTTTAAAGTAGAATATTTAACTTTAAATAATAAATAAAGTTAAAAACTTAATTTTAGAAAATAAGCTTTATATAATTATAAATTATTTAAAAATAAGTAAGTTATTACTTAGCTATTATTTAAAACTTAGTTTAAAAATTTATAATTATTTTTTTAATTTTTAATATAAAAGTTTATTATCTATAAACTTTAAATATATTTACTTTATAATTTTATTTTATTTAGTAAATAAATACTTTTTCACTTTTTCTATATTTAATCTTAATTAATATTAGCCTACTAGAGTATAATAAAAATTATAGTTTATAGGATTTACTATAATAGAATATATCTATTATACTTTTAAATTTATTCTACTACTTTATATAGAATTATCTTTATTTTATTCTAGATTTAATATATTTTCTTTTTTAGTATTCTATATAGATAATTTCTTTATTAGGTTTAAGTTATTTATAAACTAGTTTTATTTCTTAAAATACTATTTCCTTTTAAAAAAAAAATAGGTAAAACTGTTTTTATCCTTTTAAAAGCTCTATTTATTTATTAATACTATTAATACTTTTAATATAACTTATATTATTAGAAAATAAATTAAAATCTTTAAATATTATATTAAAAAAGTTGCTAAATAGCCTATTCCTAAGGATTTGTTTAAAGTAAAAGCTTTTTTAAGTACTATTAAAATTATTTATTACTAAGTTAAAAACTTTATAAAAATTGTTAAGTTGCTATTAAAGTTAATAAGTAAAAATTTTAAATAGCAGTAAATATTAATAGAAAAACTTTTATTTAAAATATTGAAAATTAAATATATAATTAAAACCTTAATATATAAGATTAATATTAGTTTATAAATCTATATATATACTGATACTTCTTATTATAGTATTAGCCTTATTATTATTTAAATATTCTTAGAGTAAAATATAACGTAATATCTATTAGTTTAAAATAAAAAAAATTAGTAAAAAGAAACTAGAAAAAGTTCTAATACTTTATAATTCTTTTACTTTTAATACTATTTAAATTAAATATTTAATTTATAAGAAAAAGTTTTATATTATAATAAAATATACTAAAAAATATAATTATTTTTATAAATATTTATATATATTTATAATTATATAAACTAATTATTACCTTTTTATTTACTTCCTAGGGTTAGATTTATATAAAAATATTTATAGCTATTAAGTAAATTTTTTAAAGTATTTAAATATTTAGATTAAGTATATTCTAAAGCTTTAAAATAAAATAGTAGATAGGTTATTAAAAACTATTTTTAATTTAGATTATACTATTACTTTAGTAATAAAATATTTAAGTAAAGAAATTAAAAATTAAAAACCGTAATAGGTCTAGAAAGATAAAGTAAGTAATTTTAACTAGTTCTTTAAATTTTTTTTACTTTAATAGTAAAATAAGGTTATTAATTAAAATAACTTTAATAGTATATTTATCTTTAACTTTTAAATAGTTTTATTATTTAGTTTTAGTTAAAGTAATTTTTTACTTATAAATATCTAATTTTAAGTAAATATTTACTAAAGGTTATTTTAGTTTAAAGAGATTTATATTCTTTTTATAATAGACTATTTATTACCCCCTTCGCTTAATTTCCTATAGTATTTTTTTTAAATATTATACTTAGAACTAAGTTTTATAGTATTATTATAAAGGTATTTACCTTCTTTATATACTAGAAGAAAAAGTTTAGAGTATTTTTATTAAAGTATATAATAAAAATAGTTATTAAGTAAAAGCTAGCATTATAGCTTATTTTTAAAGTTAATATTATTAGCTAAACTAAACTTATAATATAGAGCAATATATCCTTAGTTATTTAGAGTATATTAAATATAGCCCTGCTACTAAGTTTTAACCCCTTTACTTTATTTAGGTTATATATTTTTTTAACTTATAGATATAAACTTTATTAAGCTTTTAAAAACTACTTTTTCTAGCAATTATTATATCCTTAATATAGTTTACTATTTAATATATTTTTTTAAAGCTTATACTATTAAGGACTATATAATAGGCAATATTATTTTTTGCTTTCTAGACTTTTTTACTAGCTATTAAAAGCTATAAGCTTATTACTTTAATCCAGGTTAGTATTTTAATAATTATAACTTTTAAAAGTTTTTTAAAGCTTATAATATTACCTAGAAGTATTCTTTTTTAAGTATAAAATATATAACTAGAATAATTAAAATCTATAATAGGATTTTAGAAAAAGTATTATAGAAGCAAATTTTAACTAAAGTTATTAATAGTTTTATTACTAATATAAATAAATAGGATAAAAAGCTTTTTAGTTTAATATCTAATATTAATAAAAAATTTATTACTTACTTAAATATATTACTTTATGGAATTATTTTTAAAGATATATATCTAATATTAATAATAGCGTTAACTTTTTTTACTTTTCTAAGATAATCTATTATTTAGTAGGTTAGTCTATTACTTTATTTTATTTCTTATTATCTTATAATATAATAGTATTATATCTATAGAATATAACTTTATAACTTAGTTATTTAGAAGTTAAATAAAAAAAAGCTAAAGCAAGTAAGTTAATATAATAAAAGTATTAAAAATATTTATTATTAGATTAGGAATTTAATTATATTATAATAGTATTATAAGGATATTAAAAAGCTAAAACCTATATAGCGAAAACCTTTCTAGCTTTTAGTATATAATAATAGAAGGGGTATTTCTTTTACTTTAATATAAATTAATAATAAAAAAATCTATAATTATTTTTATAGTAATTTTTTTAAGCTTTTTAAGTTTAGAACTAGCTATTTAAAAAACGGCCTTTTATTATTATTAATAAAGCAAATTATTTCATTATTTAAAATAGTTAAACTATAGCTACTACTTTTTTTTTTTAAATATATAGTCTATTCTATCCCTAAAATATAGTTAATAATTTCCCCTTTTTAATAACTAACTTTAATAATACCCTTTAAACTACTTTTAAAACTATTTTAACTTTGCTATGTATAGAACTACTTCTATAAGTTAACTAAAAGTAGTTTTAGTTTTAAAGTTTTAGAATTCCTGCTTCTAGGAAGTATAGTTATAAAAACTTTAAAACCTTTATATATTAGAAATTCCAGCTTATAATAAACTTATATATAGGAAATCCCTAATTTAGACTTTTTTAATTTTATTATATAATATGTTATTAGCTATTATTTTAATTAGCATTTTCTTTTAGTATTTTCCTTTTTTATTTAGACTTCTAGTATAGCTATAGAATATTAGTATAAGTTTTTAGGCTAGTAGAAATAGCTTATAATAATAAAGTCTTTTTAAAGCTTTTTTATACTTAGTTTATATAATACCTAGGGCGGTTTTTACTTATATCGGTAGAATATAGGTTGCTAGGGCTCTTTTCTGTTTTATAGGGTCGTATAGACGAGGGCGCTAAATAGCTTAGCACAGCTGGGATATTTATCCGTAGTAGTAGTTAGACAAAACACCATCCTTCGTCTAATCAAGTTGTCTTGCTTTTCTCCTTCAGAAAATTCAGTCTCGTCCGGAGTCTTCAATCCATATCTCACGCTTCCACGCCACGACCGTCACGCACGCATGATCTCGACAAGTCTGCCTGGTTCACATCTTCGTATCACGGAATTCGAGACGACTCTCTAGCGAAGAATGATCAATCGGGGAAGCAAAATCGTCAAGTTTAGCTATAGCGAATTGAGCACGGCACAGCTAGCCTACAATCCGTATGCACACAAGGCTTGGTCTCAGCGGAGCTATGGACCTTCGAATGAGGTGCAAGCTTGCGGCTGCCCTAAGCCATTGACTCCCATGAAGATGAATACATGAGCCAAAGTAGAGCAAGGAAACATAACGAATCCTCATATTTTTACGATGAACATGCAATCGAGTTGCGTATACAGAAGCATACATAGCGACCCGCACGTTACGCTACGATCATCCGCTGTCAGCGTCAGCATGTTGGAACGTGGCTTTGCGTGGGTATCCAAGCCCGAAGCGGGAAAAGATCTACAGGGCCTCTAAATCTTTGGTCCAAGCGCAAGGCTGGGAAGCTGTCAATCAATCTGATCAGGCCAATCGAGCCAATCTAGCGGGGCTAAAGCTGCATGAAACACCGATCCAGGAACTATCGACAAACGTGCCGCTTCCCAGAAAGCTGATACGACGCTCGCTATGATGTGATTGGGCGAGATCATCGGTACCACGCCGCATTCCGTTTCCTGCTTCAGGCGGCTCCATCAGATCTCTCTCGTCATTTAGGTCGTATCGCGAGCGCTCGGTTTCACACAAATGCTCCATGCCCGCGACGACAGGAGGACCTTTACACAAAGCAAGCTCAAGATGAGTCTACGTCCTACAGAAGCATGTCGAATTGTGCCACCTTGTACCATGGCAATGTGAGCAACCTGCAGCATCTGCGTAATGGCGACGAACGAAACCACCAATAGGCCTAAAGCGGCTTTCCTCTACCCCACCAACGGGATCTCATATAACTTCAATGCGGTCGATACATTGAACACCTCTTGGACGTCAAATTACGAGCAGCCTGTACTCAGGCTATGGTGCATATTGTCAGGTCAATCTGCTCGTTCAAAGAGTGAGCCTCTAATTCCCCCCCCAACCCACCCATACCTGGATCAGAGGAATGGTCTTGGATTCTAACGGTGCTGACGACAAGTGCAGAATACCAGGCAAATGTTCCACAGAATGGTTCTCAACCTTTTCACCTTAACTTCGGCTCCTCAGGGACCTGCGATTTCGTGATCCTTGATTCAGCCCAACAAGGTCAGCGCCTACAATCTGCCTCATTCAATGTTCAAATCGGCACAAGTGATGCAGTGAAGACATACAGCGCTTCACCAGATACTGCTGCATCCACGAGCATTGCTCCAAGCCAAACGACATCCTCTTTGGCCTCAAGTTCAACTCCAGCCCCATCAGAGCCTGCCTCCACCACAATTTCTCCTATGCCTTCTCCGTCCGTACAATCAACACGCAAAGGAGGCTTGAGCCTTGGCGAAGGCATCGGGGTGGGTGTTGGTGTCGCAGCCGGTATCAGTCTAATGGTAGCATTTGCAATCTACTTCTACTTAAAATGGAGACGAGAGAGAAGGGAACGTCTGGAGGGAGAAAGCAAGTGGGCCCCGAAGCAAGAGCAAGGCATTACAATACAACGAAACTTTTACCAGTCGAGCATACGAAGGTCAACTCCTCGGACAACATGAGCAAAGATGCATAAGGCTCATCAGGAAGAACACAAGAAACTTGCTGCAAGAGCTAGGGAGTATTAATGCCACAACTGGATGAGTGAAACAGGATGGAAAGGCTACCCAGGCGAATTGGTGGAAAGGCCGAGCACAACCATGAGCAACAACGACAGATCTGTGGAACCGTCCCATATTCAGTTCGCCAGGAACTTGGTTGGGGGTTGAAAGAGTGTGGATGTGTCCAGAGCAAAAGCCATGAGTCTCAACAATCGATCGCCAAAGACAAAAGGTTCGGCGGAGGACCTCGGGCGAACCTCCAGTCACGTCCGTCTTGGGCTGAGGAATGTAGCCACTATTACGGCATTGTCTTCTAGACCCAAGCCCTCAGAAGACTGCTCATTGGCACGACGAGTACATGGTGGTAGTACTATTCCAATTAATATCAAAACCGGACCGTGAGAGGTTAGAAGCATGTAGGATTTCTTCCAGTGCGTGCCTTACCAAGGACAGCCGAACAAGAACGAGTGTCTTCGCCTTGACATATCCCTCACCACCATGCTCGTATCGAAAGCACGAGATGCACTGGCTAGGCAGTCGTCGCAGGCAAACGGTGGTGCATACGTGTGCATGGATGATGCGCACCCCACTTCGCCCGCATTACGGGGACACATCACTGGCGGAACAGGTTCAGTTGGCAAGGACCGTTCCATGCAAGGGTTGTCGCGCTATCGAGGAGCAGACGCCTTATCTGCGCCCAACCCACCACGAACGAACCGGATCGGCCACGCATAGGAGAAAAGCAGGATTGATGACAACATCGAGTGGAGATCTGCAAATGCGGAGATATTGGACCAATCGATATAGGGGCAGGAGCCAAGCCAGATCTAGCGTGAGCAGATTGGCATGCCCTTTTCAGGTAATGCGAGCCCAATGAGGAAGGCGCTAAAACATACCAATCTCGGGATTCATCAAGCCATCCGAAACCCTACGTGACTCGTTCCTAGATAGGGAAAGGGTCATGGAGGGGAATACGGCATTGATCATTTGACGAAGCTGTTCTCTTCCCCTCGCGAAGTCTGCATCCTCTTCGTTGTCTTTATCAATTCACTCCTCTCGTTCTATTATTCTATTGCTACATTGATTAAGGTCTACTCATTATGCATCAATCACTCTTTCTTACTGCTATCGCCCTTACTGTGAGCACATTGGCTGCGCCAGCCCCATCCAGCAATCATGTTCTTCATGAAAAACGAGAGGCGAAACTTTTGCATTGGGAGAAGAGAGATCGTGTTCATCCTGACGTCCTTTTGCCAGTCAGGATCGGGTTGACTCAAAGCAACCTTGACAAGGGACCAGAGTTACTAGATGAAGTGTAGGTGCCTTGCAAGATCTTCGACATACCCGATGTCGGCACCGTTTCCCTGTTTAGTCACCGGAAGCCCGTCTACCTTCTGTTGCCTTCCAAGACATGTCTACTTTGCTGTTCTGAGGTAGAGTTGTTGGTCGTGATTGCTCAAGCATCTTGATAAAGCTCTAACATACTAACTCAATGCTCAGATCGAATCCAGCATCACCAAAGTACGGTCAGCATTATTCGATGGAAGATGTTTACGACATCTTTGCACCCCAAACAGAGACTGTAGAGGCCGTGCGCACCTGGCTTCAGGACTCAGGCATCCACGTCGACCGAATTTCCCAATCCACCAACAAGCAATGGATTCAGCTTGATTCGACTACAGCGGAGCTTGAAAGCTTGATCAACGCAGACTATCACCACTACGAGCATTACCAGACGGGCAGATCAAACATTGCTTGTGACGAGTACTCTGTCCCAGCCCATGTACAACCACACATTGACTACATTACGCCTGGTCTCAAGCTCCTGACCCCTTCACATCCCAAAGACCCCGAAGAGAAAGCCAAGGTCCGCAAGCGTACTTTCGGCGTGACTGCACCATCGAGTGGGGGGCACAAGCCAGTTCTTCCACCTGTCATCCACCAACTCACAGAACCCCTTAACAACACATTGTCACGCACATTGAGCGCACTATGCCAAAGAGCAATAATCCCCCTCTGCATCTCTACCCTCTACAACATCCCCCCGCCACCAAAAAGGCCAAAGGCAACGAACTCGGCATCTTCGAAGACCTAGGCGACGTGTACGCGCAAGAAGACCTCGACCTCTTCTTCGCCACTCTCGCCCCAAACATCCCAATCGGTACCCACCCAAAGCTCGACGCCATCGACGGTGCCACGGCGCCGAATCCTGTCACAGCTGCTGGCGCCGAGTCCGATCTCGATTTCCAAATCAGTTACCCCATCATCTATCCGCAAAACAGCATTCTCTTCCAGACGGACGATCCCGTCTACGAAGCCGACTACGAATTCAATGGCTTTCTCAACAACTTTCTCGATGCTATCGACGGCAGTTATTGCACGTACTCCGCCTTTGGCGAGACCGGTAATTCGCCTCTTGATCCCCCGTATCCGGATCCGGCGCCTGGCGGGTATAAGGGGCAGCTGCAGTGCGGGTTCGTCCCCCTCCCCTTTTGCCCTTCCCCCTTCCCCTTCCCCTTCGCTCCCCTCTCTTCTTTTACCTTCCTTCCTGCCCCCATACCCGCTAACCTCCGTCCACCCCCTTCAGCGTCTACACCCCGACAAACGTCATCTCCATCTCCTACGGCGGCCAAGAATCCGACCTCCCGGCCTCCTACCAACAGCGCCAATGCAACGAATACATGAAACTCGGCATGGCCGGCATCTCCATCGTTGTCGCCTCAGGCGACTCTGGCGTCGGCGGACCCATGGGCCGCTGCCTCGGCCCCAACAACAATATCTTCTCCCCGGACTTTCCTGCTACTTGCCCCTTCCTCACTACCGTCGGCTCCACCTTCTTGCCCCCAAATGGTGATGTCACGAAGGATGCTGAGGTCGCTACGACAAGGTTTCCGAGTGGAGGCGGGTTTTCTAATGTTTTTGGACGGCCGAAGTATCAGGATGCCGCTGTGGCCGCGTATTTGGCCAGTGGGGTTGTGGGGGTTCCGGGGTATGCGAATGGGAGTGTGGGTCAGGGCGGCGGGGTGTATAATAAAGATGGGAGGGGCTATCCGGATGTTAGCGCTGTGGGCGATAATGTGGTTATTTTTAATAAGGGGATGCCGGTGTTGATTGGGGGCACTAGTGCCAGTGCGCCGGTTTTCGCGAGTGTGTTGGTTAGGGTTAATGAGGAACGGATTGCACGGGGAAAGGGGAGGGTGGGGTTTGTTAATCCGGTTTTGGTATGTTGTCTTTCTCTTCATCGTGGGAGGGAGAGAGGTGGAGGGGTGGGGCAATCAAGGTGAAAGATGTGTGCTGATATGAAGTTTGCAGTATGCCCATCCGGAGATCCTGAATGATGTTACCGTGGGCAATAATCCTAATTGTGGGAGTAATGGGTTTGCGGCTACGAAGGGGTGGGATCCTGGTAGGTGCTGACATTTTCAATTATATTCTTGTGTTTGGATGGATGCTATTTGATGGACGAATGATGGATGAATGCTGATATTGGGTACAGTGACTGGATTGGGCACGCCTAATTATCCGAAGATTCTGGCGCAGTTCTTGAGTCAGTAGGAGGAGCTCGAGAGGTTTTGAGTTGGTGCATTGCGTATTGGACCATGGATCATTGTGCATTGCGTTGGTTTGACATTAAATGGGATGGCATTGGCGGTTGCATTGGAAGGGGTTTGGGAATCATGGGTGGGTGATGATTATGGTATATATTGAAGTAATCTCTAATCGTAAAGATTAATGCTGTCGAATGACATTGTTGATCGCATACACGCATGAGTGGTAATATGGTCATTAGATGTGAAGCGTTGATCAGGATATGGTGGTCAGTTGAGGCGCGTGTCTAGGCGCAAAGGCTGCTTGAGCGCCTCGCCTGGAGCACCCCCGAAATCAATAGAGTACGCCCCCTGGAAACAAGGTTCGACCCCGGAAATCCCACGACGCTTGCACATAAGACCGTGGCGATATTTCGACTGGCCAATTCTTACGTCTTTCCTCTTTCTCGTCTTCTCAGACACTTGTGGTGGGTAAAGGCATGCCCACCCTTACCACCACAGTGTTCGAGCCCGTCCACCCCCTACCTCCGCTGCGCCACGTTTAATGTCTTCCCTGCGTCGATGTGATGGCAGTCACAATCGGGGCGACTGCTCATTGGCTATCTGCAGCTCCAAAGTAGCGCACGCCTCTGAGGCAGATTCCGTCAGGCTGAGCTGACCTCACAATGACATCCGGAACCTGTTTCTACGTCCAGATACTGCTGCATACTTTTCATCATGTATAACCGTAGGAAGTGTTGTAGCGACTGCCGCCGAATATAGATCGAATGATACAGGCCACGCCAGCGACGACGCTGCTATGGACCCACTTTCCGTTGCGGCGTCTGTGGTCGGCCTACTGACAGCAGCAGGAAAAGTCTCTGCCCTTCTCTCAAAGTTTGTTGGCGGCTCAGTGGGCGCGCCTGTACTTGCGAAGACGATCTTACAAGAAGTTACAGACATAAGCGCCTGTCTCGCTCAATTGCAGACGTTCTTGACCGGCACGCGGATAGGATCGAGATCCAGGACGGCGTTGATATTGGTGGAGCAAGTTGTCGTGACACTGACTGATTGCGTCCTTACATTCTCCGAGCTTGAAGATATCCTTGGATCTCTCAAAGTCGGAGACCCGAGGGTGATCATCAACCGACTCCTGTGGGTCAAGCGGGAATCGGCGCTTAGAGCTCTCACCCAACGTCTGCACTCTTCGAAGACCTCGCTCAACTTGATGTTGTCGACTCTGACTTGGTAAGAGCCTTTTGCCCCTTCCTTAAGACGGTCCTAATTGGAAATCTAGTGAATCAGTCGACCAAGCCACGAGCGCCGTTGAACATCTCACAGAGCTTGTGCAACAAGTATTACGGGACAATCAGGATCTTGTGTCACGACTACAACAGGCCCCATCTATCAGTAGCAACGTAACAGCGCCATCAACTCTTTCAGCACATAATACAGTCGGCGGTAATGCCAAGGACGAGGATGACCCTTTGACTGACGAGGATGACGAGGATGATGCTTCAACTATCATTCCACGTAACCGTGGCAAGCTTCTCTTTAAATTTCCTAGGGATTCTGAACTGCAGTTCGAGCATGACCTTCAAAACTCTCGAGTCTACACCCGCACGATGCGTAGAAAGTCGAGGGACTCGCTAGTATCGTCTGCTGCTATTTCTTTGGGTTGGTCTTGTCTCTCGGAGATCAGTCTCGCTGGTGTTTCGCAAATTTCTGTAATTTCTTTACCTGTGACGGCCAGCGAACTTGCCAATGGTCAACATTATCATACACACGGAAGCAAACCCTCCTCAATTCCCGTGACGAAGACCTCGCAAGACCTCAGGCCTATCCAGATATCATTGATAGGTGCATTAATTTCAGGAAAAACCACGGTCTTCAGGCAGCTGCGACAAATACATGGGGTTGAGATGGCTAGTTGGGAGCGCGACGAAGCCCGTGCAGTATTGCGGAAAAATCTCGATACGGTCTCCAGGCTATTGTGTGGACTACTTATTCCTCTGTCGGAACATGACTTCCAGTACCTTGTAAGTCAATGCTCCCCACTCTCTGTAGCCAATCAGACTGACTGAATTACCAATAGCAACCCCATGAGCTGAAAAATTGGAAGCAGGCTATATAATGGCTAACCGAAAGGATATTGACCACGAAAGGTGTGCTGACTATCTAGCAGTTTGCAGAAAGTTACTTCAAGCCGAAGATGGTGATAATTTGCTTCGTTCGGGAGATAGCCATGGGCTCCACCACAATATCAAATAGTGAGACTGCAGGCTCTATACCGGAGAATTAGCTAACCATTCGTGTGCAGCATTCTCGAGCATCCAGAGCTAGTTCTACCAGGCGACCTGTCGGAGAACTCCAGCTTTTTCCATGCGAGGAGCGGCACCACAAGTGACGAACCATTTGACTTTTGGTACAAAGGCCGAGCATACCAATTAAAAGACATCGGCAATAGAAGGCCTAGTCATAAGATATGGTTGGCAGATTGTGTCAATTCTGACGTTATCATGTATACCGTCGCGCTCACTGGGTATTGCTACACATCCTGGCGAGACACTAATTTGGTACGTAATCATGCGCGATCGGCGTAACTAGATTGACTTAAAAGGGTACAGAACCAAATGGATGAAGCTTTGGCTGGATTTCAGTGGCTTACCAAAAAAACGCGTGCTCCAATCATATTACTCTTCACCAAAACAGACGTGCTTCGGAGGAATCTACCAATATTTCCATTATCTCATTACGCCGAATCCTATTCTCACGGGACAAACTACGAGAAAGCCTGCGAATATTTTGCGGACCGCTTCCAGCAATTATATACCAGGCATTTCGCTGGAGCAAATGAGCTATTTATCTACTTCGTCAATGCTGTCGATCCAAACGAAGTTAAAATCGTATTTCGGAGGATCGAACAAGAAGTCTTAAGCAACTATCACAAGTACACGCCTACGCCAGAAACAGGCCGAACGACACTTGCCAGTAACCACCACGCAATTCATGTCGAACAAAAGATAGAAACCTCAGAGCAGTCCTACGGAAGCTCCGTTCCATTGTTGCAAAGACCCGCCCTGCATACTTTTGGTATTACTACCGATTGCTCAGCCAATTGATACACATCGTAACGAGTAAAGACGTTCATTCAAGCGCAAGGCAGGGGCAGCGAACACAACAGAGTCGTTATCATTAGTACTAGCAAAGCGTTCAAAATTACGAGTGAGTTGTTTTAGCGGATAACTGAGCTTGATAGCTCAAGTAAACTTCTCACAGAAGCTACGTAATGTCTATGACCAGGATGAATTGTCTCGAGATTGGGTGCTCTCTACGAATTGGATACCCATTAAATACTTGCGTACGGAAGTAAATTACGCCTCCAAGATGCTGCCCCTTGCCTGGGCTAAGCCCAGAAAGAATGACCTACGTGGAATAAATTACTGCACTAATGATCACCTTTGTGCGCCGACCACCACATCATCGTTTCCTCCTCCACACTTTGCTCTCTATTCACTCTGTCATCAACTCATAGCATCTAGTATGTCCCAAAAAACCTCCTCTTCGTCCTCATCACCTTCATCTCCTCTCTTCCGCCTACCCCTCGAGATCCGCCAACAAATCTACACCTACCTCCTTCGCCCGGCCAATTGCAAGAACTTCCCCTCACCCTCCTCCACCACCACTACAAGCACGAACGACTCCTCAGCCTCCGACTCCTCACTACCCTCTCAAGATGACCCGTCCGACCTCCCTCCTTCTCCGGCATCTCCAACATCGAACCACCTCCTCACGGGCCCGAACTACACCTACCCCATCCCCCTCTTTCTACTCTCTCGCCAAATCCACACAGAGACCCTCCCTCTCTTCCGGTCCCTCAATAGATTCGTCAAGATCTCAACCCCATGGTCCGAAGCAATCCGACACATCAACAGCGAAGGGGGCGTCGGCGTCGTAGCCATCGGATCCCAAGCCACAGATTTTCAGAATTTTCATCTGAGGGTGCTGATCAGTACGGCCATGGTCCCAGGAATGGGCACCACTGATCCAGAGAATTATGATATGATTACTGAGATGGGGGAGCTGGAGGGGTTTGTGCGCACGTGGGGGTTTAGTCATTTGAACAGTGCGAGGCATTTAAATCCACATTTGGTGCTGAGGGTAGATCTGAAGGAGCCTTACCCAAGACAGTCTACTGGTCAGGCAGCAAAACAGAAGGGGTTAGACGTGGCACTGCAGACACGGCTACTGTCGCCCTTTGGCAAGCTGAAGGATTTGAACCAGATGCTATTCGATTTCCACGGTCGGCCATTCTTCGAAGGCGGGGATGTGGACGAAGAGGTGAAGGAAATGGTGATTAAAGAGCAGGCGATACCAGAATTGACGCCCGAGGAGCGGATACAGCGGTGCAAGGAGCTAGGGATTGAAGGGGAGGTTTGCATTGGGAAGAAAGAGTACAAGCAAGCGATAGACTGCTATCTCAAAGCGTTCGAAGCCGTGCACATATATCACACAGAAAGCGGAAGGAAGAGAGAGGTCCACTGCGATTCATACTACGCAGTTGAGCTCCGAGACGGTGACTACAGAGGCCAATTCGGGCATCTCGTACGGATCATGTTACGAATATCCCTCGTCGCGCGCGTCATGGACGCCTTCATCAAACTCCAAGAATGGGAAGACGCCCTCTTCTGGGGCCGCCGCAGCATCTCCACCTTCAAAAGCAGCTTGCAGTCGCAGTCACAAGAAAATGCAGACCCTGAGATATACCCCGAAAGGCACGTCGTGCACGCCACGAGGAAGGTGGATAGTATGTGGTTGATTGATGGATACTGGGAAACATTCATGCGGGAGGCGAAGGCGATGCAGTTTGCGGGAAAGCCGGATATGGGGTTGATATTCTACAGGACGGCGATTGCGGGGAGGGAGGTCAGGAGGAAGGATGATGAAGAGGTGAGGGCGTGTATGGATGCCGCAGAGGCGTTTAGACCTGAGGATCCGCTTGTTAAGGTCGAGGCGAAGGCGATGGCGTTGAGGATTATGGCGCGGAAGGACGATTTGGTTGAGTGTGTGAATAGTGGGCCTGGGTAGGAGAGGAGGAGCGGGGAGGAGATGGCACTGGATTGTTGGCTGTTTTTGTTGAAGACACTCTGCTCGAGCGATACTTTCCGGTGGCGTGTACGATACTGTGAGCAATTACGAATAATCTTACAACGAGCTGCCGCCTCCAGCTTCAGGTCCGTCTCCAACGTCAGGCGCGATACCTTTTTCTCCGCCGTGCACGTCCCAGCCCCGGAGATGCTCGGCCACCCCGCAATTCGAAATATCTCACTCTACGTTCCTCTTACACAAAGACTTCACCTACTCTTCATTGCCCAGCGCACCTGTTCACCATCAATCCCCTTCCCTTTCTTATCCCACGCTCACGCCTCTCTCTATAATGCTACCACCCCACCCCCTCGCTCTTCTCCCCATGCTACTACTCCTCACCACACTCGTCGCCACCAAGACGACTAAACCCCAAGGCCTCAAATACGACGAAGGTGACGTGGAGGAAATCGTCATCGACGTATCTGAATTGGGCGGCGGCGGTGGTGGTGGTGGTATTCCGGGGCTGAATATCCAGGAAGTTCCACGTGAGCCGGGGAGGGTGGGGGATTGGCCTGCTTGTGTGGTGTGTATGCTTCTACCTTTTCTCCATCTTTCGGTTGCTTTGCTGTGATGGGTTGCGTTTGAGAGTGGTTGGGGCGAAGGGAGGAAAGGAGGAAGGGGAAGGATTGGAAGGATTGGAGGGGACATGGCTGATGAGAACTGATTGCAGAAGAACTTTGCGGACGATGCGGCAGAAGCAGGTGGATGTGCCTTCCCCCAGGACGCGGAGTGCGTGTGTCATTGTCCTGCGTTCAACGACAGGTGGGCGGAAGGGGAGGTGGAGGGGTGTGGGGAGTGGGAGAGGGGAGGTATGTTTGCTATTTTCTTTCTTTGTCTTGAATTGGTGGTGTGGGCTTTGGATGCGGTGGCTGGTAGGAGGGGGGAAGGAAGGGGGGCGGGGGGGATGGAGGGGAGGAGGATGAATATGTGGCTGATATATGGGTGATAGTGATTGAGACGCTGAGAATGAAAATGTGTAAGCCGTTTGGGGGACCGAGGTTGAGGATGGGGAGTGCTTGCGGGGAGAGGAAAGAGGGAGATGGGGATGGGAGAGATCGGGAGGGAGAATTGTGAGTTGGCTCGTGTATGAGTGAGGGCAGTGAGTCTTCGAAGGTTGGACGAGTTGGGTATGTATGGTTTGTTCTCGGTGTTTTTGTTGAGTATGAATTTAGTGTAGCAAATTGTTGGAAGTCTACTCATCTGTTCCCACATCTATCATGAATTGTCTGCTTGTAAAATCCCCTTCAGATGATATTATCGGCTGAGTGCAGCTACTTTTTCTCTTATGTACCTTCCAGCTGACATTTCTACAAAACATAGCGAGATTGATTGTGGTTTTGATATGAAGAAACGAGCAAACGAGCAAACTGTCTGCCAAAAAAAATCATCTCAGACTCCTAATCGGTGTTTCCAGCATCCACAGCAGCGATTTCTGATTACTTGTACTCGGTATGAGTATGCCTCATTCTCTGGAGTGAAAGTGAAGGTGGTTACGAAATAAATGGATGGTGGGAAGAAGGTGAAGATTTTGGGATTGATGAAAGAGGTGTGACATATGGATTTGAGATTCGAATACAGAAGTCTGCCTCTTCATGCTCGGACCCGACGACTTACGTACATCAAGCATATGTGACGGTCTCAAAGTCCTTGCTCTAATTCTGCGTTTGGCAATGTGCATTGATAATTGGTATTCCGGGTAATCCTTATGACCCGGTGATATGTTATTCCCGATATTTTAGCGAATTCTATGAAAATCTACATTGCAGACAGGCAAAATTTGTGCTTCTTACACACTTGCTTCTCTTCATCCATCTTGGTTCCTCCTTAGTACCGATACTTCTCGTATATAGACCTCTTCTTACGTCTACGCTTTTCCACCCTATGTCCATCGGTAATTGGCCCTTTCTTTGCCGCCTTTACAGCTGCAATTTTCTTTGCTGCCTCTTTCTTTGCTGCTTTCTTCAAGGCTGCTTCTTCTTTTGCGGCCAGTTTTTCCTCGGACTTCTTCGCCGCCAATGTCGCCTCTATCGTCTTGTTCAGCTGCACCTTTTCCGGCGATGCTTGAGATATCTCATACTGGAATTGGAATCCTCCATCTGGAATTAACCACTGAACAACCACTCTATCCGAATTCATGGACTTCAGTAGACCAACCAAACCCCTGTAATGTCCGCTTCGAAGTATGGCTAGGTCGGCAGGGTCAAAGGAATTGCGCATCTTATCACGACCCTCCAACTCGTAATGGTAGGGTTGGATCTCAGACCATCTCCCCTCAAATCTATCGCAGGAACGAGCATGGCAAGATTCATCCTTTGAGTGCCCATACCCAATTCTTCCCCATGTCCAAACCTAGGTTGAACAAACCTCGGTTGAACGGGTCTAGGGGATATTCTCCTCCAGCAAAATTGTATGGGATTTTTGGCAGGGTCTTGGCTACCGCCCATGAACGCAGCCCCTTCGGCAGCCTACAGATCGACTCCACGTACGGGAACAGTAAATGGTCCATGGATTCCGTACGGGGAGATTGTCCGTTCAAAATACTAGCATTAAGTACCCTAACGTGGGTTTCGGTGAACAGTTTGCTGTATCTATTTGAGTTATCACGTGTGGCGTGATCTAGGAGATCTTCTTTGAGGGCATTCATGGCCGCGGGTCCCGAATTTGCCGCTTCCCTATATGACCATGGAGATGGCTTGACAAGACCTAGAATGTACGGTAGTGTACGTGCTAGAATAGGTCGAGCGAGACTGCACCATTGGTGGCTCACTAGGGCCATGTTGAATAGAGCATCGAGGCTCCTGCCTAGCCGGTTTCTTGAGTTTCTGAACGGTCCAGTGTTGCTTACTTCGCTTAGCTTCTCTACTGTTGATATGACATCGACGAGGAGGTGCTCGCAAATGTGTATCTGTAGCTCAACTGGTAATTTGTTCATCGTCTATGTCGTCCACAGATTTTTGGGGGCTTATTTAGCCGATAGTCATGGGTGGGCAATGGTGATTTGAGTGACAATTGCACAGGACAGGTGGTAGTATGAGCGGTGTTTCAAGAGGTCGATGAAGCCGATCACGCAACTAGAAGTTTGAATGATTTCGACCGGCTATAGATAAATCGAGGGCGTGTCATGTTTTTAAACAAAGCTATCCTCGTGACACTTGGTGTCACACTTTGTTTGTGATTACATGAATTACTAGCTGATGTTGATGACACAAACCTTTACATTGTTGTTTCTGCACATCACATTATAATTGCCCTGGATTTTAATTCAAGCATTTTGGTCAGTAATTCACTAATATATAGTTTGTTTCCTCGCTGATCTGCTGTTGTTTGTTACTCGACTTTCATCATATCAGCTACTCCTATATATCCTGAGCCTTTCAGTGGTATATAACAGCTTTTCCGTGATCACCTCACAATTCACCTCTTCTTCTTGTGGCCCGACTTTTCCACTCTATAGCTGATTACCTTTGGCCCCTTCTTCGTTGGCTTCTTATTCATTGGCTTTTTCTTGGCTGCCCACTTCGCCCTTACCTTTTCTGCTGCTTTCTTTTCGGCCTTCTTGATCTCCGCCGCAAGCTGTTTTTCCAACTCCCGCTTCTCCGCTAATTTTTCCGCTGCTTTACGTAGACTTCTTTTTCTCATCCGTCGTCTTGCTGGAGTCTCGGCAGCAACGTTCCACTCCTTAGTATCTTTATTCTGTTGAACGATTACCGCCTGCGGGTCAAAAGACTTCAGTAAAGACAGTAGACCTTGATATCGTCCTCGTAAAAGGGCATCCCTGGCGGGACCAGTGAAGTTGAAACCCTTGTCGTTGGAACCTTTCAATCCATGATAGGGGTCCGTATCACTTAGTTGTGGGCCAGGCCGGCAGGATTCATCCCCTTCGTACCATGCCCAATTGAAGCCCATACCATGTGTTCCTTGAGGCATCCTTAGAAAGGGTCCAGGCGAAGGAAAGATATATGCATACGGTTTTTTTGGTAAGCTTTTACAGACAGCCAACGAGCGTAATCTCTTCGGCAGTCGGCAAATTGACTCCAGATATGGGAACATCAGGCGGTCTTGGTTGGATTTCAAGTCCAGAGCGTGATCTCCAGTGAAGAGATTAGGGTAACGCGAGTCATTTTTGCTCCCGAAAAAGACTTCTGCTTCAAGCGCTTGGACGGCGGCAGTTCCAGATTTCTGCGCTTCGATATAGGCCCATGGAGAAGGCTTGATAAGGCGGCTCAGAATCTGGTCCAATCTTCGCGCCACAACGGCTTCTGTGATTTCGCGCCATTGACGACTTGTGCGTAGGAGATTCCAGGCAGGATCAAGGCTTTGACCTAGTCGGAATTTGAGGGTTTTCCATGGTCCACTATTGCTAACATTCCTCAATTTCTCCGATATTGATATCGCGTCGAAAAGTAGACTCTCACTGATTTGAGCCTTAAGCTCAACCGGCAATTTCTCCATCGCCTGTATGATTCAAAACTATGCAAGATTTCTCTCAAAGCCAGAGAGCATCCTTGAAAAATGTTGTGGTAGTCAAAGCGGAACAATCTAGAATTTTGCTTGAGTAGTGTTCTCTCTGAGATGATGGTGTGTTGGGCAGGTAATAACAATGTCAAGGAAGCGCGGCTTTTGTATATAAATACAGATGGATTCACACATTTTGTGTGTCTAGGTAGAGTATCACACTTGCCACGATACTTAACAGTGTCATTGGCTGAGCACGTAGCATTGTTGGTGATTTCGAACGGTCTAGTTGGCAGTCGAAGGTGTGTCATGATATCAACAAAGACTTTCGGGTGACGTAGGTATTGTGTGATGGTCATATGGTGAACAATGAAGTTTAGCTGACATTTATGACACACATCTTTGTGCTGGTACCGCTGCTCCCTGTAGTAAGTTCATTCTTGACTTTCTACCAGATTGCAAACTATCCCCATTCTATTCCGAAACCAACCAAAGAGTATCCAGTCTCCCTGATTTCAGCTTCAACTTAGTTCCACAAAAGCTGCTCAGTACTTATACCTCTCATACAGGTACCTCTTCTGCTTGCGCTTTGGCTTTTCGACCCTATATCCCTCAGTGATCGATCCGTCCTTTGCTCCCTCCTTTGAAATTTTCTTCTCCGTAGCTTTCCCCTTGTCATTCGCTGCAATCTCGCTGGCTTCGTCTTTCGCCGCTGCTTGCCCTTCTGTCCTTAGTTTTCCGGTTGCTTGCTCTTCTACTGCTCGCGCCTCTGTTGCTTGTCGCTCTGCCGCCTTTTGTGCCGCTGCTTCCTCCAGCGCTGATACCTGCTGCAACATTTTCTTCTCGATTGCTTCCCACTTTGCGACTTTCCCCTGGGCTGCCAGTTTCTTCTCACTGGCCGTGGCCTCTGCGGCTTCCCACATACTTACCGCATCAATATGTGCCTTCTTCCTGCCTAGTGCTTTCTGTGCTGCCACCTTCTCCTTTGCGCCGATCTCCGTTGCCTTTAATCTCGCTGTTTGCGTCTTTGCCCAGTATTTTTCCGGGGTCTCCGCAGCTATATCGACCTGTTTGATAGTCTGGTTCCATCCAAGAATCACTGCTTCTGGATTGAAAGCTTTTAGCAAGGCTAGCAATCCTTGATAAAACCCCTCGTGGAGTCTATGGGAAATTTCCTTGTTGAGCAAAAAGCCGACGTCTTCACGTCCATAAGAGTGACGACGATTTTCGGTTCTTCGAAACCAATGATAGCGAGCTTCAGGGTTTATGTGAGGCTCCAGCCAATCTTTGATTGTCCAGAGAGACTCCCACGGTCGCTTCCAATTCATATGGTGGGCAATGCTACCGTTTCTATCGAACGGCAGATCACCAGGAGGAAAAGTATACAGCTCTTTTGGGGCCGTCATTCGGACCGCCCATCGGCGGATTGGCTCTGGCAAAACACATATCGACTCCAAGTAATCGAAAAGTAGTCGATCTTCATGCTCCGCAAGTCGGCCAAGATTTACTACATGATCATTTCGGAAGATATTCGCAGACATGAGTCGAGCCAGAACATTATCCACAGCTACTTGGCCTGAATTTTGCGCCTCGATGTACTGCCAGGGGGCTACTTTGACGGCGCGCCTCAATGTATCTTCCAGTGCTCGGTTCAAGAAAGGGTCTGTGACTGCTTTCAATGAACGGTTCGTGAGGGATAGATTCCGGAGGTTGGTCAGGCTCTGCGTCAGCGGCGGCCCGTAATCATCTATGTTGCTCCACCTATGATGGAAATTAGCCATTCTCGTCACCGCTGCAGTCACATCTTCAAGGAGACTATTGAATATCTGCGTCTGCAGCTCCAATGACAATCTGTCCATGGTCTATGTCGACCACAGATGTCTGGAGATTTATTTAAAGCCGATGACTATGACCCATGGGTAGAGTTTAAATATTGTTGTGAACATCGGACGACAGGTTGTCTCTCAGGCGACATCTCAGATCAGTGGCTGTGAGCAAATGAGCAAGGAATTTCAGAGACTTTTAAGTAGTTTTCTATAGCTACCAGAAGCGTGTTTGGAATTCACGTCACTCGGGTAACGCTCGGAATCGCAAGCATGATTGTCATGAACAAAAGAAGACCAGCCGACATTGATGTCACACGACTTCAGGGATCCACACACTCACTTTCCATTTTTTTGAGAGACTTGTCCACTCATCTAGTGTCATTACCCATGATACATCAACACAGCCTTCACCCCGCGCCACTAATCTCCGTTCCTTCTCTCTTCCCCCTCTTTCCACTGGGCCTTGCAATCGTCGCCTGCTCCAGGCCTCGATGTAGTAATCACCAACAGCTTCTCCGGAGTAGGTTGGATCTATCTCTCTCAAGTTGAAACTGGATCTTCCAATATTCATAGCCTTGAGGAGAGCATACCTATACTATGACTCAAGTTCTCCCAACGTGCTGATCGACTCTAATTACGCCCTTGGTGGCGATCTCGTGCTCAGCGTGTTCTCCCATGAGCTATTTTAGGGACTTCATCGCGCAGAGTAGGAGAAACTTGCAAATGTTAGTCTGAACTGAAGTTGACAGCTTGCTGATGTAGCTGATATCTGACATTTTTTTGAGCAAAAGACAGGTATGATGGCTGTGACTAGTGAACATTTAAAAAGTGAGGTGATGATGTATTTGGAGCTGAAAGGACATACTATAGTACAAAGAATATAGACCTCCTGTACCATTCTGATGGGCTGCGAGCAAGAATGGCACAAAGAAAGGTGGACGAGATTTCCCACAGCGTCCCGCTTGCGGTCTTCAAGATTGAGAGACTTGCAAAAGAGCTGGTAGGGCCCCATCCTTGATTTTATTCCCAAAAGGAGTATGATTGTCATCGCGTGCGAACCGCACGATTTGCACGTATTAGCTAGACTTACTTTATCTCCGTACCGACTTTCATACTGAAGCTACCCTATTCCATCATTTTGTCATTCATTTGAGCCTTCATGTTGTGCGAAACAGTCTCGGCTTTCGTGGCATTTTCGTCTTCTTCCAATTTCGTTCCATTTCCTGCTGCTCTTTTCGGCGACGTGCAAGCGTCCATTTAGATACTATCAGCGACCCATTATAGCTATCGCGTTCAAGGCGGACGGCTCCGGTGTTCATAGCCTTCAGAAGCATAACTAGAGCCCATGGAAAGTTTTTCCAGAGGCTAGGCAGTATTTCATCAAGGGTCTCGGGATATGCTCCATTTTCGACCCATATGGCGTTCAGATTGGACTGGGGCCTTAGGAACCAAGGCATATCAAGATCCTCCATGGTCATAGCAGGGACCAAGATCTCTCTTGCAACCGGGGTCTTGAGCCAGGCCCAATGTCGCGAGGCTTCGTGAAACTCTGGTGGTGTCGGATTAGGCGATGGCAATACAATAAAAGGCTTGGAAGGCGATGTCTTTTTCACGGCCCAGGGTCTGAACTTTGGCGGTAATTTGCATAGAGAGTTCAAGTAGGGGTAGAGATGCTTTTGTTTCTCCCTATCCGATGCGTCTATGAGAGGGGGACCACCGAAAAGGGTTTGGCGGCGGAGACGTCTCGTAGAAGCTTGCGTTTCTTCTACATCCTTAGAATCAGCTACTTGCCATGGGGCAACGTTGAGGTATTTGTTCAGGATGATATAGCGTATTTGGCTTGACGTAGGCCGTACGATGACGCGCCAGTACTTGCTTGCACGTCCAAGATTCGTAAGGTCGGTAACCGCCTGCTCAAAACTAGATGCGTTCTTCTCAATTTCATCTGGCTCGTCTGTGTCCGAGAGCTGCTGTAGAGAAGCCGTAGCGTCATCGAGAAGGCATTCACAGATGATTTTTTGAATTTCAACGGGCACGACGGTGATCGAGTCATGTTCTGACATATTTGAAGCGGCTGGCATATCAATACGATGATCAGTAGAAACTAGCGAGCGCGCGAAAGTGATGGCGTTGGAAAATCCTCAGTGAAGGAACATGGGTCAGGAGGTTGGGACAGTAAAAGAAAGACCGGAATGACATGGCGAGTGCCATTTAAAGAAAGCGCCCCACAAATGCGTGTTGGAAGATCAATGAAAAACGCCGGAGGCTTCAACACATAGAACAAAGGAAGCCGAATGCGTACACGCCACAATCAACACCCATAAACAATCTTTCACGGGGCTGCTTGAATCGCACACGAAGGACATCTGAACAACGCAATTCGATTGAAATGATACTCTTAATCCTCAGGTATCCCACATTAGCTCAGAGATTCCCTAATGAAATCTTCAGACCTGCACCAGGCTAAGCAGCAATTCCAGACACTTACAAACGTCTTTGTATGATTATCAACCCAGCTGACGATGCAACGATCCCAAAACCCAACACCAAGACGACGACGACCCCGACGACGCATTAGCAGGATCACAAAGCTGAACATCACAGCCCCGCCCTCTTCCACGCCCCAACCCTCCCCTTCGTCGCCTCCACCCCCGCCTTCATAACAAACTGAAAATGATAAAACGCGCCATTCACGCCACCCTGAACAAACCTCTCCTTCTTAAACCGCGTATACCCCATCGCCAGCCCCTTAATAGTCTGCCAAGCAAAGCAAGTCTGCGGTTTGCCCGGCTGCGTCACCCACACGAGGATATGATCGACAGCGACATCGAAGGCCCAGCTGAGCAGCACTTCCTTGCCGGCTTCGACGACCATGGAGGCGGTGTCGATGGTGTCGCCCAGGGGTGAGGAGGCGGCTAGGCCGAGGTACATCCATGTGCAGACTTGTTGGGCGGGGATGAAGGAGCCGTCGGGGTCGTTGCGGGGGGTGAGCGCGCTGGTTGGGCTTTCGTTGTTATTGTTGTTGGGGAAGGTGGAGAGGGGGAGGGGGAGGGAGCGCTTGAGACCCTTGTCGTCGGCGCAGCCGCCTACGCTGCTAGGCCCCCGGTTTGCCGCGTGTGCTAAAGGGATTGTGATGGAGGCTTGGGAGTCGCAGTGGTCGTTTGTGACGGTGTCGACCCAGTCTTGAGGCGCGGGGAGCTGTGTGCTGGGATCTTCTTGGCGGGGGTGTAGAAAGAGGAGAGGGGAGGGAAAGGGGGTTGTGGCTACGAGAGTTGTGAGGCAGAGAAGAGCTGCTGCTGTGGAGATAGTGTGGTGCATAGTTGGAAAATCTTTAAGTGGAGAATCAGAGGTTGCAAGAGTTCGAATGATGCTCTTCATTCAAGTTGGGCAGTAATATGTCTTTAATATGTCTCTTGAATACGTGATCATCATCAATTCGAGATGATGCGGCTCCTGGAAACAGTGGCCAGGCATTTCACGTCTCGAGTCGAGTGGCAGGCGAGCAGCGTCGAAGGTGGCTTTTCGATGTGCGACAGTGGAACAGAATGATTTGCTATCATTTTGAGGCTCATGTTATTGTGCCGTCTTCGATGCCTCTGTTTGAACAATACCGGTACCTATTTATGCTGAAACAGCAAAGCCCATCAGAAAGGATTGCTACTAGCTAAGCGATCAGTGCTGGCTCTAAATTATTCAATAGCAATCCTTGGGCCAGGAGATTTCTTCCATAACGTGTGTAATTAACTATTTGTTCAGGATCCGCGAGCTTAGCTGAGAACTGTTTTTTGTGATACATTCAATGGGGCTGTGAGGGCTGTTCCAAATTTGCCGCTCCGTCCTGGTAAAACAAATCTTCCGAACTAGCTTCAAAAATACATCAAACGGTGAGGCAAGGCCCAATAAGCGACCCGTGTTACGGATAGCGTGGAGATAGTATGTGGCTATGTATCAGCAGTGCTAGAGGCAAGCGGTGTAAGTTTCATATCCTCCTAAAGGGCCATCTCTTTCACTCGTTCATGCTAAGGGTATAGGCAGATGCATTCTGAAGCTCCTTAACGAGTTCGATGGTATTTGAAGCATTTGAAATAGTAAAGACGAACGGCTCATTACATTTTGGATCTATTAACGTTCTCTTGGATGAACGCATTCTTCTGATAGTACCCAGCACTCAACAAAAGCAGGGTTGAACAGGACATGTAGACAAGGACGGGACTAGTATGAGCAGCTTGTGGTATGGACTTCTCTTTTACGCTTCCAGTCTCTCTCTATGACTCTTCGTAGTCCACAATTAGATCTCTGTGTCCGCCTTCCCCGAATTCAAATTCATGCCTTCAATATTATTCATTGCCTTTCGATCTGCCATTTGGTTCCTCAAATACTAGTCCCCGCCTGTTTCTCAGACCATGAGCTATTGCTTTGACAGTCGGCCATCTTCGCGCCTGGTCCATGCGGTCTGCGTCTGTCCCTGAGGAGCCTGTTTTGCCGGTTTCTTTGGTTTCTTCGGAGGAGGTTTTGGCGGCTTCGTGGTTTTCCCCTGCGATCCAGCTTGCGATGTCGCAGATACAACCATCTGCCTATTCGGCTGTCTTGAAGCAAGCGTTATACATCTAGGATTAAAGGCCTTCAGCAAGCATAAAAGGCCTCGAAATTCTCCTAGAGCCAGCCCTTCTAGTACGTTGTATGATCCGGGATAGTCCTCGCCTTCAATCCAATCGAGGTTCCATCTGAGATAGACGTCCATGAACCATGGTACTCTGGGGGATTCTCGCCCAGGATAGTTCATGACATGACGCCAAAATGCCTCCATTGCAATCGGAGATTTGAACCATGCCCAGCGCCTGTCCGTCCTTACGCCTTCATTTCTAAACTTGTACGGATCGGTAGGCTTTGTTCTTTCAACAGCCCAAGCTCGCAAACTTTTTGGTAGCCTGCATATCGAGTCAAGATATGGTAGCAGACTTATTTCCACAGCGTGTTTAGACGTCAGGTCACGCCTCTGACGACCACGAGGGAGCCCAAGCTCGTCTTTTTCGTGTTCTGTAAGTCGTCGGCGCGACCGCATCTGCCATGGTGGTGTTCTGATCCCGTTTTGAATGATAGCATCTTCAAGTTGCTTGAGAAACGGCTTAGCCGCGGCCTTCCAGTATCTATCTGTTCGAGACAGGCTGGAGAGGCCTTGATAGCAACCATGGAGGACTTTCCCGTTCTTCTTAATGACTTTTATGTTGCCATCGCTTTGGGCGAGATTAAGTACTCTTCCGCCTTCATTGACTAAGTCCTGACATATTTCCCGGTGCAATTCGAGTGGGAGCTGGTTCATTTTCTTCGAAATTGAGAAGCCTGTGTGGTGAGGATAAAAGGCAAGGGTCGATCCTGATTAAAATGTCCAACCACGCACAAAGAGATCCATGACAAGCAAATTCACTGTTTGTTGTCTTCTTTATATCAAGATCACTAGTGCACAGGGTGCAAACAAATGTCGCGAGCAAACTTGCCGTTTGCGGTTTTCATTATCAAGATCGTTTGTCCGATGCAAGAAGGTGCTTGTTATATGCTGGAAAAATTGAATGTCAAGACGATGTGTCTATGACTTAGACGTGGATCAAATGCTTGTTACGAAGCAGGTGCAGAAAGCGATATTTGTGAGTGCCTGGCTTCATCTGAAATGGACGCACGACTTGCCTCCTAGATCTTACCACTTTCCCATTCTTCCAAATTGTATTTACCTAGGGAACATAGGAGTCCAAACATGCAGGCATCAAGCATTGTCCCTTAGATCACCCTGATTCTCAACCTCATCTTTTGTGAAACGTGATCTGTGCACAAGCAATAGTGTCTATACATTTTGCGCACAAGGCCCAATGAATACAATCTTCAATTCCATGATTCGCGTAAGGATTGCTTCATTGGCTCCAAGATATCCGATTTCGTTGACATTATCGAAAACAATCTTGCCAGCTTCAGTGGTTACACCTTATAGTACGTAATTCCAGCCCCCGACGACTACCCATCGCTGCCACCTTTGATTTTCGCCCTTTCTTTTCTTTATGATCTTGTGCTGACACTCCAGTCACACAGAGGTAATAGTTTGGTCGATTTCTTTCGAGCTTCAGACATCGCGGATTTAGAGCTTTCAACAAACAAAGCATGGCTTGAAAGCTCCCATTGGTCAGTCCTATAATCACATCTTCCTGAAAAGGATATCTTTTCGATTCGATCCAATCGATCGGGATGTATGGAAGATCAGGTACGCAGTACCACGGCAAGTCTGGTGGTGCATGCATCTTAACGTGAGGAAACAAAGCCTCGTTTGCGATCGGTGATTTGAACCAAGCCCAATGTCGCTGTGTATTCTTGGGGCCTCTTTCTTCAAAGCTGTATTTTTTCTTTGGCGCTGTAGCTCGGACGACCCAGCTGCGAAAGTTCTCGGGGAGCTTGCAGATGGAATCAAGATAAGGCCAGAGCTCGGCCTCTTGTCCAATTTTTGCCATCAACTCGGGAGTCTTGGCATCTATATCGGTGAGACCTAAGCGTTCCATATCCCCTCGACTAAGTGATGCCGCCAATGGCGTGTTCCAAGGTGCTGGTTTTACACCGTGTTGCAAGATTGCATCTCCAGCCTCTTTCAGGATCGGTTGCACCGTTTTTTGCCAGTAATGGTTTGCAAGAGAAAGGTTGACGAGTGCTTTGATACAGTGATTGAGGCGATGGCCAGCTTGGACTACCAGGATGTGATCATGATCTCTTGAAGATTCAATGCTACATTCTTGCAATCCTCTACAAGATTTCGACAAATTAGCATTTGCACTTCGGCAGGTGATTTGTCCATCATCGAGGTCTTCGACTCAGACATTTGGCTTTGTATGAAGACTCGAGTTCAATCAGTATCCTTGGGGTTGCCTGAACGAAGACAAAAGGCGTTCAATAACTCCTTGGTCAATATTGGCGAGTCGGTGATTTCAGAAAAGGATGAATGATTAACTACTGTTGCGTAGTGAAATATATCTGAAGCGGGAACGGAAGAGCACCAGGCGAGATAACGCTTGATATACGTTGTAGTGTCATAGCGGAGCGAGACTGGGTGTAGTGACAAGCACGCTCGCCGCAAAAGGCGTCACCCTCTAACAACATATCTCTCTCATCCAGTCACGCGACCGTTGACACTCAATATACTCTACAAATAATCTTGTCACGAAAGACAGGTGTTAATAGATAAATTATTCCTCCAAGGAGAACCAGATTCCGACAGCCAATTTCTTTTCACTAGATCAGTAGCACTGGATACCCTACATTGACATGATTTCCTCCTCATCAGGATCACATCGCTGTTCCGACGCTCGCCGTAGATGAGATGATTTGGGAAACTTGCATTCGAAGTCATACATCGATGAATTTTTTTGGCAGTATACGGTGCTCTTTCGCTTGTGCTTGCGCTCATTGGAGGCTTCACAGCTTTGTAGTGGCTATTACAATGTCGAAATTGTTGTCTTCATCTTGAAGTCGTCTTGCAAGTAGATTTGTAAATCTTTGTAAGAAAGGAGAACGTTGAACCATCTTTCGTACCTCTTCAAATTGTGGAGTAGGTATCAAATATGACCTTGTGGCATGAAATGACGGTGACTTCTGGTGGCATCCTCGATGAAGCCTCTATTGGTGGGCAATGCGCAAACGATGGCCCGGCGAGTAAATGGCCTGCCACTGCTGTTACTAAAAGATCATTGACGTTGAAATGCAAGAGTGATAGTTCAATTACTTGTAAAAGAGATTTGTGTTGGTAGTCCTGGGTGAAACTTACTGCCTGTTACGTGTTGGTCTCAGGGACATTGATTCACTGACCAACAACGTTGCTTTCGTGAGCCATTTCGTATAAGAACAAGGATACGATCAGTCAGCTGCCCCCACAATCAAATCTATATTATCGTTGTAGTAACCGTCATATTCAATTCCCGCGGCTTCACCTGAAAGCTTATGAATGAGGCAGACGCACAGTTTCTTACACGCCCACGGATAATAGCGATAATCACTACCTCAATGTATCCCTTTCAGATATCCATTACCCTGCTCTTCCTTGTCAGCACGAACCTTGTCTCCTCGACGTCAGTCCCAGCGAGCAATATAGCCACAAATACGACCAAAGACATTTGCACGGAATTTTCCCCCAATGCAACGACGGCCAGAGACTCGAGTTGCCAGGCCATCTACTACCCCCATCAGAACTTCTCTTCCTATGGGTAGGCTATCAAATTCTCGTTGCCAAAGAAACCCCACTGATGCCTCCCCTCAACAGTCAAAGCGACTACCCCGACTACCTCGTCCCAGTCAGTGAGCCACGCATGGGATTCAAGTTCGGCTCCAACCTCCAGCAGCACGTCCAAGTCTCCGAAGCCACCGATCTTGTCGAAAGATTCGCTGCCGGCCTAGAGACATGTTCTTCTTCGTATCTGAACCACGCTGTTTCAGCAAAAGGGATTGCCTACGATAGAGGGTGCATTGTCATACTCGTCAGGCCGAAGCGTGGTGAGATAGTCGAGAAATTCACGTATGATACGGTGGTACAGGCTTTGCATGGGTATGCGCAGTGGTTGCATGAGAGGCGGGAAGAGACCATCACAAGAGCGCGAGTCAATATCTGGGTTACGGAATATGAGGTTATGGGACCGCAGTTGGTGTATTATGGCTCTATGGGGTTTTTTGATACGCCGACGAGAGGTGGTACGGTTGATGCTGGGAGTTTGTTGAGTGTAGAGTAGGGAGAGGCTCGCTCTGGGAGCGATTTTCGGCATGCCGGAAGATAATCTGTGTCGCTGCTACGGCACGTGTGGAGTCAAGTGCTGCTTCGTATATCGCACGCAAGAAATTAGAGGTGAGTAGAATAAGCTGGCGATAATTTTTCTAAGGAGTTTGTGTCTTGCTTGGTGTTGCTATGTCTCAGTCGACAGACACGGTGAGGCTGTTGGAAGACGGGATGCAAATAACCCCTTCCGCAGTCCAGATCATTCATCTTGCTTTGGAGTAAGGAAGCGTCTTGCATAATCGGACGTCAAATGGTATCAAGGAGCCTCCATACCACGGTTGCCTCGCACATTACAATCACGATACCGTCTCCGAAGCCACCGCCTTCCGCGCCACCGCGTCCTGAGCAGGTACAGCAGCAGGTTGATACTGATACCACCGCCCATCCCGCATAAACGGCTGCGGTGCTGGAAGCTCTCCAACCGGCATCAGGGGCTGGTGGAGTTCGTCCTGTGGCCTTTGCTGATGATGCAATTCACCCGTCGGAAGTGGCTGATTCTGCAGCTCAGGCATTACATTTGGATAAGGTTGCTGGTATTGAGAATACTGTGGATATGGCTGTTGCATGAAGCCAGCACCATTCCCACTGGCAGAAACGGGACCACCAGCTCTCCAAACCGTTTCCTTGATCCTTGGTCCTGCACGACGACGCACGCGCGTTGCGACTATGAGAACGGAGATGGTAGCTAAGCTGCAAGTTCAGGCGGTCAGGGTTAGTGATTGCGAATTACATTCACTTCGCGTGTGGTGGGAGGGCGACATACAGTTCTAAAGCCGTCATGATCAATAACGCGAAATCCACATGATACCAACCACAGAACGGACTCCCGCATTGATTCAAGCTGCTGTTATGCCAGAGATAAACCCCGTAGCCGAAAAGACCAAGCCAGGCAACCGTCCAGAAGGAATAAATTACCAAGATCGCCGTGAGATTCGCTCTTTTTATAAGCACCAAAAGCAACGAGACGAGAGTGCTCAGAAAGGTGGCAATTGCGACAGACAAGACGCTGAGCCTACGCAAAATCGTAAGCACTCATGCATTCTCCCCCCCCCCCACCCCATCCCCCGGGATATAGATGCACAGGTAGATACAAACTTACTCCCAAGGAAGCTGCGCAATACTAGTACTCCGATGATAATACACCTCATCGGCAGTGCCAGCATACTTCTTATTACTAGCCCTTGTCTCGGCTTGAAACAACGCGAGGTCGGCGGCAGAAAGCGCGAGGATGACGAGCGCAAAGATGCCCTGCGCGAGGAAGACGCAGAGGGCGGATTTGCGATTCCAGTGCGTGTGGCGAGACATGCCTTTGTCGCTGCGTGTGGGAGGGAATAATGAAGGAGATGCAGGAGGGAGGAGGAAGGAGATGTTTGGATTTAATAATGATGGAGGGGTCTGGGAATGAATAGGTTGAAAGGTCCGCCCGCTGCCAGGTTGGGTTGTCAAGATAGGGCGGGGGGAAGGCGGGTAATGTGCTAAGCCTGGTCAAGCCTGCATTAGTGCAGCGGGCTGTGAAATTAGGGGGCGGAAGGTGGGTGATGGAGGATGCAGAGCTACGGCCGTAGGGTCTGTACACGGCCGGAATAGGTCAAGTGAAGGATCACTGCTATCGGCGATTTGGCTGGTGGCTCAGTCTTGCTTTTTCAATGACTGGCGAAGGAATCGAGAAGAGAGTATGGCGACTGCATCAGTCATTGAGAGAGGTTCGAGATGGATTGGATTTAGATGCAGGCTTTGAAGGAAAGGAAAAGGTTGTGTGAACGTCAGTAGGTGATATTGGGTCATATGATAATGCACCATATTTATTCAGTCTCGTCGTAGTGAAATGATGACAGCTCTCGTGTCTTCAGTAAAAGCTACTTCATCCTTAATGTTTGATTCAGCCTAAAGGCCCGTCTATGGTCACCCGTCGAGTGCTGAGCCCCATTTGCATCCCGCCTTGCATCTGCAGTGTCATTCACAACCGACCGAATCTTCCAACATTGTTCAAGAAGACTTCCTGGCTTCTCCAGACCACACTCAAGCAGCTCGTCAGGAGTATCCATTTTAGTCTGTTCAAATGCCGACTCCGCGTAGCTCAACAACACCATCTCCATCTCTTGGCTATCGGCGAGATATTGCACTTTGAGCATAGTTGGGAAAAGTGCTTTCAAGAAGAGGAACAACGCTGCTACCTCCCCTCGAGCTAATCCTTCCGCGATGTTGTAGCCCTGAGCGAAAGTCCCTGGTCCTTGGAGACCTGATTCAGTGTCAAAATAAGGAAAAACAAAGGATGCATTTTCGCCTTCCATCTTTTCCCCGAGCGAATCATAGACCGTACAAATACCGTTGCACATACTTGTATGTGCGATATTGAATATTGTCAAGTCCTGAATTTTGAATCGAAGCCCAACGGGTAAGCGATATGGCTCCTTTGGTCCAGTAGATCTCAGAATGAAATGACGCTCTTGTCCACTACTCTTCATGAATCTATTGACATATCGACCAAGAAGATACGGCCCCATGTGCTTTTTCATCTTCACGTATGGTGCCTTCCAAGGGGCGAGCTGAGCATAATGCCCAATTTCAAGACAACCATCAATCATTGGTCGGGCCGTTTCCTGATAGTATCGATTGGTGAGACTCATGTGATATAAGGATACTGGACATTGAAGAGACTTGAGTACTTGAATCTGAAGCTCCGATGGTAAGGTATCCATGTTGTCTACCAACGTAGAATGGTTCGAGGCTGTAAGGAGAAGCGTCCACCGTTCAGCCGAATCTAGACGTGATTGATTAAATTATGGTCCTCAATGTCGATGTCAAGTGGTTTCACGAGGCCGCTATTTTCAGGTTGGCAGCTCGCTTTGGTAGATCTTGGCTTGTTGCTAGGCTTTACCGGCGTGATCAAGAAGATAGGAGCCACAGCTCTCAACTATTTGTACTGAATAATTTCTCAGCCTAGGACTGCACAAAACCTAAAAAGATCAAACAAAGCCGGGCCACAGCTGACGCCCGAAGGTATGATTGCCTCCAAAGTTCAGCCACTGGAACTTGGCGCCGCCACATTCAAACCAACCGACATGAGCTGCCAGGTCAACCAATACTCCTTTGAAGTGAGCATTCAAGCCAAGAAAGAAAGCAAGCTGCCTACACGGCTTAACGTTGTCCCTTAAAATTCTCTCTGGCTGTTTAATTTGTGTCCTAGCAATCTGACAGATGCGTCAGCTGGATCTTGACCAAACCAGCTACTCTCACGACCAAGGAAGGTACGAATGTGGTCGATACACAGGTGCCTGCGCAGCCAAGTGCGCCGGCACCGATGAGCCTCCTTGGTAAGGCGGCGGACTCTCGCCAATGCCTTGAATATTCGGATCATACCATTGCCCCGGCACTTGAGCTGGGATCTGCTGATCGGGCACATAGTAACTCGCGGGCCAGGCCTGAGAGGGTGGCGCTTGAGCAGTATAATTCTGCGCATAGTTCTGCGCAGGATCCACATAATTTCCATAAGAAAGTGATCTCAAAGGCTGTGCTATCCTTCCCGGACGGGTCATGGCCTGCTCTCTAATGTAACGTCTAGTCGCGAAGAAATTCCCGACATTTGCCCGCTTGACTTTGTCGGTGCAGTTCGCCGACGCTTCCTCGTGTGCAGTTCTACCTAGACTGCCGCGATCTCCCTTTGATAATAGCGAGCTGCCGGATTTGCGCCAGCGAGACACAGTTGGTGGACCGTCTCGAGGTCGCCCCGACGACTTGCGATATGCAGCGCTGTGAGCATCGTCCGTGGCATGCTGGCATTGACTTTTGCTCCGCGGCTCAACAAGAGGTTGACGGTATTGGTATCCTCACTTTCCACAGCCATCATGAGTAGGGTCACGCCTTCTAGCGTGGCTGCGTTGACCCAACCCTTATAGTCAATGAGGGCAGACGCTGTTTCGAAATCACCATTGCAGCAGGCAATGTGCAATGGAGTCAGTGTTTTCAGAGGCACTTTGAAGTTGTCCAGCGATGCGAGGAAGGCAGGCGGGGGAGGACTCCATGGATTGACGTCAACGCCATTCTTGAGTAGAAACTTTGCCAGCTCGTGATTCTTCTGTATAGCGGCAATGTATAGTAATGTGATACCTCCCTTGCCAGTACGCCGCTCTGGTTTGCCTGAGTCCATTGTTGTGGCTAGATCTTGAGGCTCAGCAACTAGGGCTTCAACATTTGACGTCCGTCCTGCCCAGGCAGCTGAATGTATAGGCTGGCAACCATTGTCATCGAACGTGTGGCGACCAGCACCTCTTGCTATTAGTGTTTTGACCATACCAACGTCGCCTTCCTTCGCTGCCAAATGCAGAACAGTCATCGACTTGGTGTCCAAAGCGTCTAGATTAGCGCCACTTCGCAACAAATTGTCAACCGAGTCCAAACGATTCGCAACGATCGCCTGGTGAAGGGGCGTCCAACCACAATTGGTTTGAGATTCCACATTGACTCCAGCAGCCAAAAGCAAATCAATGACTCCACACTTATCTGTTTCGGCAGCAATGTGCAATGCCTTCAGTCCTTGCGCATCAGAGGCCTCTCTGAGGTTCTTCGAAGACCTACCCACAAGGCTGCCTTTTGCTTTAGAAAGAAGAGAGCCTCGGGAATTAGATTGCTTAGGCTGATCGGGCGGGTAAGCCTTTAATAGCCACTCAACTGATGAAAGCTGATTGTTAGCAACCACTAGATGGAGCGCATTCCTTCCGTTGGTGTCGGATGCGAGTTCATCAGCACCTCGATCCTTCAAGATCTGCAACACATCCTGGTGACCATTGATGGCAGCAAGCATCAAAGGAGTCATCGACTTGTTCCCTCTAAAGTTGATATTGGCTTTGGCTTCTAGTAGCGCTTTGACACTGGCCAAGTCTCCACGGGATGCTGCGTCGCACAAGGCAGAGCCACTTGTGGAGGCTTTTACTGATGACAGTTGCATGAACGATGTCCGCCCTTTAGGAGCTTTAGCCGGTGCAAGCTCGCTGTGGACTTGATGTATGTCTGTTTGCGTTTGGCGATGGCTAGCCTCGCCCTCGGTGACTTGACTTGCTGCCGAGGTCGCGGTAGTATGAGAGGCAGATTGATGCAGGCTTGATTGTGTATTGTCACCCGCTGTTTCAGTAGACAGTGTTGCAATAGAGGGCTCGAAAATAGGCAAATCATAGCCTGAGTGTACTGAAATTGACCTGCGCAATGGTACAGAGTCGTTGTGATGAAGGAGTAACGGAAATGTAGACTGCTGAATCGGGGGTAAGGATGGAGGATGGGTGGAAATCGAGACATCTGCCATTTCAAGTGTAGTCTTTTCTGCTATCTGTGAGGTGATAATATCATTTGGAATATGCTCTCCGCCATGGGGTAGTCGTCGAGCAGACTTCGTCTGGCTTTCCGTATCTGTTTCTTGGCTGGCATTGAGTATCCAATCGCCAGAAGTGGTTCGTGTCGTAACGTCATGCTCAGACAGCGACGAGGAATCTTGTCCTACAGGATTTTGTAAACCCGCCGGAGGTATGTGATCGTTTGAGTGAACCGACGTCGCTTGGTGACCCGGCACCCTAGCGACAGATTGTTCATCGTCAGCGTTTCTGAGCGATCTGGAATATCCATCGTTCCGGCTATTCGAATTCCTCCGTTTATATTGCTCTTCTTGAGTGAGGGGCAGCTCTTTTGCATCTTCTATCTTGTGCGTACTAGCCTCGCTTCGAGACCGAGATGAAGGTCCCTCGTCCGATTGGCGAGGCTGTTCTAGCGAAGATCGCTGCGATTCGTGATACGTATTCGTATGTGGGATTGGAATTCTTTCTTGTGAAGAATGGGGTCTCGCCACGGGGACAGGCTTCCGACGATGAGCTGGTGGGTCCTCTGGATGCTTGCGAGCCGGGTTCGAACGAAGCTAATGGGTGAACACGTTAGCAAGGCGTCTTTTAAACAACTCGGTAGGTCTCACATTTCCATAGACCCTTCTGTAGGCTGGCGATCGCATGATCACAGAGTCGACGTCCAGACGCACAGAGGGGTCCCGTGAAAGTATGGATATCGCATCTTCCAAGTCGGTGTCATCGATGTACAGACTCATAGTCTCTGCCCGCACATGCTCAATGATTATCCTGGACTCTTTCTGAGCAAGCTGCTGCTTCTGCTCCGTAGCCGTCTTGCACTGGAAAACAGTCAAGAGCAGCTGGAGTGCTCGGATCTGACCCTCCAAATTTGACACATATTCCTTGAGTATACCCTCCAGCCATAAATATTTGACCTTCTCTTTCATCCCAATTTCTGGTTGATATCCTGACTCTTTCAATTTCGAGTCAATGACGGTGATGAGGACTGCACAGCAGCTCAATGAGATGCCCAGGTCTTGATCAAGCTGTTTCGAAGCTTCCGACTCCGTTGTGTCGCTCGCCCGCCATGTATGTATTGCCTCCAAGGCAGCTCGGATAGTAGCCAGTTGGCTTGCGACCAACGTGGTGTTGAGCGCGACGTTTCCGAATTTCTCCCGCACCTCATTGAGACTCTTAGCTAGCTTCGTGACATTCGAGATGATCTGGATGATGCTTGCGACTCCGCCGAGAATGGCCAGTGGCTCGGCCATCGGATGCTTGGAGAGGTATTGGCAATGCTGTTCATCGGTCGACGAGGTCCATCGCGATTGGAGCCTCTACTTTCGCAAACACAGGCTCCCATCACAGCAGTTTCAGCCTTGGCGGCTAGGGTGGCTTGAAGGATTCAATCCCTGTCGTGAGGTTTATAGAAACGTAATCCGGGCAGCGAGTGTGAATGAACATGCCAAGCATCGTTGGCAACGGAATTGTGCGAATTCTCGTTGTTGCAATAGTCTGGGTACCTCATCATAGACGAGTCAACAAATGCAAGATTCAGTACACTATCACAAGACTCAAGCCAAACGAGAATGATTTGGTACATATTTGCTGGCTGTAGAAAGCCATTATATAAGAAGACACCGCCTTTTAGTTCGCTATCTTGACCGCCCCCTTAGTTCTATATCGAAACACGCGTCAACTATACTTCCATATTTAAGAGCAAAACACGGGTATCCACCTCTCTCAAGAAGCTCGCTTCATAACAATCTCCTTGGTCATAACGTCGTAGCTCAAGTCGACCAAAGAAGGATACAGCACCTTGAGCAGACAAAATATTGCCGCAGGCTCACCACGATAAAGCCTGTGAATGACCCGATTGACCGTGCCCCCCTGTTCGGTTTATGCCCTTGATCTGATTCCCATATACAACGGTCGCTCGTATTAGAGGCCTCCCTTTCAGACATGGCAATCTAAGATTATGGTCGAAATGATCGCGATAATTTAGCCCCAAACGATCAAGAGGAAGCGTTTCCAGGTACCGATAGACAGTGTAGCGGGGCGTGAAGCAGGAGTGTACCTGCATATAACTTTCGTCAGTGTCTTGCGGAGTATGATTCGACGGAACATAGCTGGCACTAGGCAGATGAAGTTGACGTATGGTCCCAAGTACGACGCCCTGACGTGCTTTGGCGTATTCGGACCAATTTGCACAACTGAAGATTGGACTGTCGAACTTTGCTCCTTGATACCGTGATACTTCAACATCGCTGATTTATAGCGGTCAAGAACGCGATCGATAACTTGCATGGCTATAAGGTGGAAATGGCGGTTGATCAGTGCCATATTGCACAGGGCTGTAATGGGGTCAATCATTTGTGGATCAGCCGCTCTCATCGTACGTCTCTCGAATCGTTCTTCTACTTCGTCGTTGAAGCATTCTAGGATCAGAAGGTGAACCTCGTTCGGTAATGACTCCATGATTCGATGAATCTCTCGATGATGAGACCCGTCCAAGAAAAGAGAACCAGACCTTCTTTATGAAGCGCAATAATCTCGTATCATGAACAACAGACTTCGCTAGCATCCGCACGACACATGAAGACAAATCGTTGAACTTGCTTGCTTGGCTTCTGACTGGCTTAACAATGCGATAGAGTTCTTATTGTGACTTGAGGTGAACAAGGCTTTTTCTTCATAAGAACTTTGTATACTGCGTTGCAAAGTTGAACTGACATTATGTCAAGAGACAGGTAGACATAATGTGCAGATGTTTTCCCCATTAAAACACAATCTAGCAGTTGGCTAGGATAGATTGGCAGCTATGACATCGCTTTACTAATAGATCTCTTTGCGCCCTCTGTCCAGTGTATCGAGGTAAGTATCCCTGAGCCAGCTGCTTGTCCATTACCTCGTGCTGACGCTAAATCACCAGCTCCATCACAACCTCTTGAGGCGAAACCCGATCAAAGGACAGCTTCACAGCGGAAGGATCAAACGCTCTGAGCAAGCACATGAGCGCCGGAGCCTCGCCGTAGTAGAGACCCTGAACTGTACCATCGAGAGCTGCATTTTCTTTTAACCCGTCCAAGCTCAGACTCCCTGGTCGTCGTCCCAGAACCTTTTCCTTTGTACCTAATGAGTCGAATATCCGAGCACGACGGCCAAATTGGCGATGATATGGAGCCTTGAGCAAGTTGAATGGGATTGGGTCAATCTTCGCATCTCCATGTACAAGCAGTCGGCGAAAGTAGCCATCTGGCGATCCGAAGTGCGCGTCATAGGGTAGTCTAATCTCCTCCTCCAATGGTAAGGTATTACGCATGACAAGACTCCGGAAGTTGGAGGGTAGTGTACAAATCCAGAGAGTATAGGTGTAAAGGCGTTTGACTTGCATCGCCACGTTGTTGCTCTCAGGAAAGCTCTCAACACACGGCAGGCGTCGGTTTTTTGACAGCACACACCTCAAGAAGCCGAATAATCCGTCTTGAACCATCGGCATAGCGATGGCGTGATAGTAGTGACTAGTAAGTCCAAGGTTGAAGAGAGCTGTGAGATGCTTGCTAGCATTTCTCGTAAGGGAAATGTTGCCTTCAATAGTTGATGGAAATTTCACGCCATCGCGTAGGTATCCACAGATCTGATAGTGGAGCTCCGTGGGTAATTCATTCATCTTGATGTGAAGCGTAAGAAGCAAGAACAGATTTGGCTAATGATCTCAATATGCCCTGAACCGATCTGTGACGATGAATTGTGTTGTCTTACTAATTCGAGAGACCCGTGTTATGGGTGTGTCATGAGCACTTGCAACACAACACGAGCTGTGGTAACTTTCAAAAGCTATGACACGATTTTGCGTCTCTTCGTTCTGTCATCGACTCATCGTAAAACACATAAAATTAAGACATTAGTGGTAACTTGAGCTCGGAAGTCCGCACTCAAAAGATTGATGCTATCTGAGAGCAAGCTCATGTGGGGTGGGTTTTTAATATATTAGATCGATTGATTGACTAGCAAGCTGTCTAAGAACATGATTGTGGAAGAAGAGCCATGCCAAGCCGGGTAGGGCTGAGCTAGGCCCGATTAGGCGATCAGACTGATCTGAGCTCCTGGAGGCTATGCTAACACTATCTATCTTAAACTACATTGCAGATATGAGATTCAACCTTTGCGCTTGCCTCAAATGTCGACAGTCACTTCAAGCTAGCCGGAGAAGACGAACGCCATTGCCTCTGATCATCTATGCTTTTGACGCTTCTTTTCTTTTCCTCTGCAAATGTTCAGGTAAACCCAATAATCATCTCAACCTCGTTTGTATCCTCGATATACCTCAGTTTTACGGCACGAGGATTGAATGCTTGCAGCAAACACATCAGCGCCGGAACTTTACCAGCGCACAGGCCTTGAAGCACTCGATTGCCAATTACTTCTCGTCTAAGTTTTGCTGAAGCACGACTGCCAAAACACGTGCGAATTGACACGTTTCTTGAGGCCGGCAAATCCAGATTCTGACCGAAATGATCCATGTACTGAGGACCAAGGCAACTTTTCGGAAGAGCGTCCTCATTGTACAGTCTGATTATCGTATCTTGCATAGTCCGTTGAGCTGCGAACGTTGCGGATTGATGAAATCGTATCGGCTCCTTGGTCCAAGCCTTGCGAAGTAAGTAGCCACGAAATTTTTGCCGATAGGAACTCAGGTGCAATGTGGAACGGAAGTATTCGATCGGCATTCCCTCGTCTTTCGAATCTCTGGCTGGAATTTTATGTGGCCTATCCCAATCGTAGTATGCTCTCATTTCGAGCAATTTGGCTTGAACTATGGGCATGGTCATTGCGTGGTAGTATCGACTTGCAAGCCCCATGCTGTAAAGGGCGGTCAAACTCTCCAGTAGCACTGGATCATGGAAAGCGTATGCATATACAACTGCCTCGTCATGGAGGTGCCGGAAGATCTCACGATGGAGTTCGGTGGGCAATGAATCCATGGTTTTATAGAAGTTAGGAGGACGTCAAGGGATGCCTCCTTTCGAAGAGGAGCAGAAGTTGTGTTGATTCAACATCATCGAGGTTGGAGGAAAGTCGTTCAAGACTCAAAGGTCGACACATAAATAAATTGGCAAAACAAAGTATCTAACACAACAATAAAGCATTGTACAACACACATCAGGGACCTCACACTTCAAGTAGCATGACGCGAATGGTCCCACCCCCCTGCTCTGAAATTCCCAACCCCTTCCGCAACAAATCCGGTACATCACCAACCGGCACACTACTAAAGCTCCTACGTAAGCTGGATCTGGGTCCTCCCACCCCAACCCCCTCCACATCCCCATCTTGGGCGCTACTTAATCCACACCACTGAATCCACACCGCCCTTTCGTTTACCCATCAACTGCAAAAACTTCCTCGACAAGTTCCTACTGTGAGAGACATGTGCCAAGACATATGAATGAGGCGAGTAAGATGGCTTTTCCGATGGGAAAGGTGGGTGAGGGAGACGGGTGAGGGTGAGGAGTTGGTGATTGTCGAGCAGATGATATGGGAGTTGGGTAGGCAAAGTGAGGATGGGCATGGAGAAGGGGAGAGGGAGGACGATGGGAATGGAGGGAAGGGGGAGGAGGCAAGGGTTTGATGTTGTGAGTGGACTTTTTGAGGGGAGGGCACTGGCGCTGTTGTGTCTTCTGCACGCGATATATCCGGAGGTGGTGGAGTTGGATCTTGTGGACGAGGAGGGGAGGCGGGATGTGGAGATGGCGCGAATTTCGGAGGGAGTGGTGATGGTGACGAAGGGGAAGGTGAGGGCGTAGTACCTAGAGTTCTAGATAAGTATATTCATTTGGTTCATATCCCGCGTAAGGCCATGAATCCCTTTCCCTTTCCCATTTTTTGGCACTAAATTGAACTCATTATCAGAGGCCTCAAGGCAAACCTATCCAGCGTCTAGGCCGACTGCAACAAACCCAGCAACCACCAAAATTTCTCCAAGCACGTGCCCCATGACTTCCCGCGTATGTCGTATTTGTCTTCAGTCGTACTGACTCATTCTCGCTCTTGTGGTGCTCGATCTTCAATTGAGACCGGACTATAAATGCGATGACCTTGATGTTGCTGACCTTCATGCTCCACCAAAGCTCGCTTCACAGGCCGATCGTGGACGATGATCTCATACTCATCGGTGCTAGTAATATATTTGTAGTCAATTATGTCATTGTTTAGGCTCCTTAACATGTACAGAAGTCCAGCTGGTTCATCATAGCAAGATTGTTCAGGGTCGATTAGCCGCGAATGTCTCCCAGGGGCAGTGGGCGATGTGTCGAGTGACGGCATGACGTGAGTACTACTGCCATACACGCGACGTTTTGGCATGTAGAATCGATTATTCATGAGTCTTTCAGCCCACAAGTTGTATGAAGAGACTCTGCCATGCCCTGTAAAGCTTTTAAGCCGGTATCCATTTGCAGGGGCGGTGACTCGGACTGCCCAACGGCGAAAATTGCGGCCTAGGTTGGTAATGCCATCGAGGTATCGAGCTAAAGTACGGACTTGTCTTTCGCGTGCCTTCTTCACTTCGACCCAGGGCGGTTTTATACATTTGAGGACTAACGCCAGGATTTTGTTCATGATGGGGGAGGCGATCGCATAATATTTTCGGTTGACGAGAGACAGGTTTAGCAGATCCTGTACAGTCTGGAAAACGGCGTCCCAAAACTTAGGAAGCTTAGTATTCCACTTGAGACATGAATTCCAATCTAATCTCTCCCATGCCATAGTCGAGACTGCGCGTACGTCATCTCGATGAGGTTGCAGGACTCTAGGACCCTCTCTTAGACTTTCCGCTATCAAGAGATGTATCTCCGTTGGTAAATTGTCCATGATCCTGATATCCCAGAAGGGCCTGAGAGAAACTTCGAAATGTCTTTTGTACGCTTTCACTACGTATGACGTGTCGAGTGGAAAATGGTGACTGGTGCTCGAAGCCCAAACACGTCGTGAATTAATACAACTCGTGGTGTCGGAGCGTTGTCAAATATGTGAGAACAATACGAGTGTAGTCGTTTTTGGAGGTGCAGCCATTGTTGGATGCGTGGCCAGTTCTGTATGTGTCAAGCGGTGACCTGCGTCGTACTACGTCTTGTGACCACTGTTTGCCACGTATGCATCGAAGTGAATGAATTCTCTACACCTTGTGACGTAAGTCTTTGTAGGCCAGCGCAAAAGATTAGAAGGTTATCGTGCCTCAATTGCGAAAAATGTCATTATCAAAGTGATTGACCCCCTCATTAGAGCCTTTATAGAGTGGGAGCATCAGAAGAGCCGCGTCATCCGCCATCAATCTGTGATACCTTAAGTCTAAGTGCTCGTGAATGCTGGTGTACATTCGTGCATCATTGAGACTTGTAGAGAGCCTTCCTCAGAATGACCCAGAAAGCTATAAATTATCCGGAATTCTCCCACTGACGGACATCGTGTCATCTTTTACCCCTCCACCGGATGCGCAATGTCTCGAAAAGCCCAACCGTTTATGGCCCGCCGCTTCATTCGAATGACCATCTTCTCCCGCCTGGACTCATGATAATCATGTGAGAGAATACAGTTCTTCTCTTGAATTGCCACGAATTCTTGGACAACCTTCTCGCCGTCAAAAGGTGCGTCTTTCGATTGTAAGGCCCTTGGCATGCAATTCTGGTGGTGGGAGGTTTGGATTGGCTTTCGAATCCTGCAACCTCCAGGCCACCATCTGAGTCAGCGGTCTCTGTAATTCACTATGCGTGATAGCTCGTTTGGCATAACATCCATTTTTCAGGGCATGTTTACTATTCCCTCATTCGTCGACTAAATGACCTTCAGATGAAAGCGGCAGAGACATCCCAGAGACACGCGGAGCTACACGCACTTCGTTCAGATTCGTACGACCCATATGTCTCAGGTTCATGGATAAGCTGCGGAATCTAAGATTTAGACAGTACCATCTCATCAAAATCGCCCTGTCAACAGCTCAAAGCTGAGGTACACGGCATTTGGCGTCGAAGCTTATGGCGGAGCGTGATGACTAGAAGAAAGAGTGCGCGCATAGTATATAGGTAGTGGCTGAGGTGGCCGTGAAATAGCCAGTCAAGCCTGTTAACTCTTTCGAGCCGTATGGATGCTAGTATGCCTTCTCTTGCTGTTCAAGCAAAGGGTAACGTCCTCGAAGTCTGTCAGGAAATCCGTGCCTTAACATTAACCGCCCGATCTCCGGCTTTAACCTGTTGTTAAGCTCTCAAGAAGTCGTAAGTCAAATAAGTCACGTGTCTCTGCGCCCTCGGGCTCAGACTTCTCAATTTTTTGTACTGAGCCCCGATATCCAATAGCGTCGGGAAAGTGCTGCTTCAAAATTTCCATGACAAGGGCAGCATCCTGCTGTCTGCCCTGAGAAAGCAATAATTCCGCAGTCTGAATGCCGATCTTCACGTTATTACGCCTGCCAGTTCTGGCTAGAGCGCTGCTTTGTGTGATGTTCATGTCTTGAAGGTATTTGAGTGCTGCATCAGGACTCGGACGTGACGGATGATGCAGCTCTAGCCAGGCACGTTCATATGAAACCCTGCAAGTCCAAAGCTTCGCGAAACCCACAAATTTGTCGTAATCATCCGCTGATAATTTTCCCTCGCGCACCAGAGACGCAATTGTGTTCACTAGATATCGCCCAGCTGGCCTTAGAGTATATAAAAGCCTTGACCTGTTCTCTCGCTCTTTCTCAATGCAGCTTGCAAATTTGCGCACATACTCGTAGAAGATAAGGAGAGCAGATTGAAAGCCACCACCGAATCTTGATTCCGACACTACCAATTCCAACAACGTTCGTCCAGGAATCTTGCGAGAGTCAGATGATCCTTCCAGAGTGTCATCTCCTAGCTGTATCCAATGGTGGATCATGTTGTACTCTCGCTTAGCGACGAGAAAATGGACAATCAGCCTCGTCAACTGAGGGTCCGCCAAATGCTGAAAGGTTCGTGAATTGCCGGATGACCACAGCCAATGTAGAATCAACTTTGCAGCTTCTGAGTCTTCCATGGCTTTGCGAGGGTCTTGGTCTGCATTGCAATCTTTGAAGTGCGCACGGAGACAATCCTTCACAAGGTATAGGTTTGCGAATCCCTGAGCAATCGCATTCTCCATGCGCACCAGTGGCTCTTCCCGCCGAGATACTTTCAGCAAAGACTTTTTCAGGAAGAGTGGATTGCCTAAGAGCGTGGTGATGTGGTTGCTAGTTGGGTGCGCTTCGTCGATCGGGTGATGCATGTCTAGCTGGTTCTGGAAGGAAGAATCGAGAGCTTTGAGCACGGTTCGTGACTGACGAAAGGAGATCGGGAGGGAGGGGTGTATTTTGTCGATGAGAGCCTTCCATTGAAGGGCAAGTGTTACTCTCATGGCGGATATTCACCGTCTTTGAGATCGGGAATTACGGCATCAGTCTGCCGAAGGTGGTCTGCCATGCAACTCGTGCAGTCTCACCAGTAATGTCACGGAAGCACTGCTATCGCCTTGATAGGCAGAAGGAGCATATCAGACCATCCTGCGTTACTGAAGAAGCGAGGGCGAACCGTGGCGACGCAATACCAGGGAAAGACGGGAGGGGGGACGAGAGTGCCAAGAGTTGTACAGAGCAGCAGCGCTAACACTAGCGCCACTTGGCGTTACGCGCTCGTGAGTCCAAAGATTCTACGAGTGAATGCACTGAATGAAACTTGCCGTACGATCATTGTCCTTCCCTCCCAGCCACCACCTTTGCCGCAACCCTCTATCTTGATACCTACTATAATATCTTTAGCCGTCACAGGCGAGCTTACTGTGCTCTCGAATTCGCAGCCACAAGGCAACCGCCCCTATTGAGCATCTGTCACCAACGCCAAGTCGTCTGACGGATCACACAACACTTGTCCGACCCAGATCCGTTCACATAGAGCAACAGATACAATCGCAAAATGTCAGAAGTAAAATCAAGGCCTTCTGGCCCAAGAACCAGAGGCTCAGGGCGAGCCGGCAGAGGCGGCTTCACCAGCAGAGGCCGAGGTGGAAGAAACCAGGCAGGTGGCAGCAAAGTGGAGTCGAGTACGCCAAATTTGGAGGATGAGGGTGAAATTGGAGAGCTGAAGAGCAAATTCTCCAGCCAATTAGCCACAATTAAGGAAATGTTTCCTGACTGGACGGACGAGGACATTGTCTTCGCACTGGCAGAAACAGATGGAGATCTGGAGGGCACAATCAACAGAATCACGGAGGGTAAGCTCACACCACTTACTTCTTGTTGATATAGCTCTAACACAGTAGAATAGGGAATGTCTCGCAATGGGGCGAAGTCAAAAAGAAGACCAAAGACCGCTCACAGTCAAAGCCCAAAGAATCCGCCGCACCTTCGACGGAGGGACCTGTTCAGTCTACAAGAGGTGGACGCGGTCGTGGGGGAGCGGATGTTGCTCGTGGAAGTCGTGGACGAGGCTCCGACCGTGGAAGAGCGGCTTCTCGAGGTGGCAGGGGGAGCCGTGGATCGACGGCTCCCAGGGTCAATGGCTTTTCCACCGACACGAAAGGCTACAACGACACTGCAGTCACCGATAAAGCTGTTGGTGATTGGAGCGCAGCATCTCCAGAAACAGACCCCAATAATCTAGATTCGTCCTGGGAGCACGTGACGCCTGAATCTGCGCAACCAGCAGTGGAGGAGGAGAAGCCCGCTCCAACAAATAGTGCACCGAAGACGTGGGCCAGCATGTTTGCGAAGCCTAAGGCAGCTCCTCCCAAAAAGCACCACAGGCTGCGCCTAGTCATGATGCTCCCATCGAGCCTCCTATCCCAACAATTGCGGGACCCACGGACGGTCTGCAACCCCTACCTCCCCCAATCTCCGCAGAGCCGACATCTGAGGTACCAAGCACTCCACCCACGTCAGATTTGGCAACTTCAGAACAGGCCACAGATATCACACCTCCCAAAGATGATCTGACGGAGACGAATTTAGAAAAGCTGCCGGATAATTCGGGGCCTACAGCTTCTGCGACCGCTGCTAGTACAGTAGCAAGCACCATAGATCACCGAAATATTAGTGGAACCCCTCTTGGGCTCGGTCACCAGTCGACGGGGCGGCCACCGCTCGGTGGCTTCGCAACTACTGCCTACAAAGCTACGGGCATGCCTGGAAGATCGGCTAGCTTCCAAAGAAAGATTTTGGAGCAGCAGGAGGCAGTCGTGATGCCTGGCAAACATGCTGTAGATAAGACAGCGGTACAATTTGGGAGCATGGGATTGAATGGGACACCAGAAGATGTCGACGTTGACAGTGACAGAGAAGATGCCGAAACAAGAGCTCAGCCACCGCAGCATTCACCTGTAGCTCCCAGAGCTTCGCTCCCTCCAGCACCTCAGCAGCAACAACAACAACAACAACAACAAGAGCTTCCAGCACCACCTGCAGTCGAAACGCTGCCCGTTCCACGACCGGCACCTGGCCTACCACCTGTCTCACAACCCCTCCAGTCAGTCCAGCAATCGGCTAGTGAAAGTCAGCCATCAATCCACCCATTTAGTCAATACAGCGAGCGATACGGACAGCCTTCTACGCAGCCAGAGAACACGGCTTCTTCGCAGAAAGCTTACGAACCATTCGGGCAGCAATTGCAGCAATCGCAGCCGTACGATCCCTTCGGCAGTAATTCAAATCAATCAACGGGTATTGAGCCTCGACAATATGGGGCTGAAAAATACGGAAGCAGCGCAGCAAATATGTCCTCGTACTATAATTCAGAAGAGCAGCGAAATGCATTCCAAAATCACTACGGAGGATACGGGCAACAGCCGCAGCCGGGCCAGGACTCTTCGTCGTCGCAACCAAGAACTAGCAGCGCAATTGGTACGTCTGCTCCGGGCCAACCACCGCAACAAGCCACTGTTCAAAGTAGATTTGGACATTCTTCAGAACCGCAGAATAGCGGCCATTCCACGCCTTATGGTACCATGCCATCACAGCAGCCTGCAAACCCAGCCCACAGCTCAGCACCAGGTCAACACGGAGGCTATGGATATGGCGGCTATCCCTACAACAACTATTATTCTTCCTACATGGGTCAAATGCACAATCAGCCATACAGTCGCGAGCGCCCAATGTACGACGACGGCCGACGATTTGAAGACCAGTATTTGGCTCAAAGCCCTAGCTACAGCTACGGAGGTGGGCAGAGCGGATATGGAGCTAGTGGGCCATTTAGCGGTGGTGGTGGTAAAAGCCTCTATGCTCAACAGCATGCAGGCTATGGAGCTTCTCCACAAACATCTCACGAACAGCACTCGGCGTCTCCAGCCAACGCCGGCGCATTCGGGCAACAGCTTCCAAGTTCAGGCAGGGAAGGTGGGGGAGCTCCAGGTCTGAGCAACTACGGTGGTCGCGCAGGTTCTGCACAGCCACAAGACAACCTACACGGTAGCAATCAGAGCAGCATTCCTGACGTCTTTGGCCGCTCACAGTCTGGGTTTCAAGGCCAGGGGCAATCTCTGACGAGTGGTGCAGACGATCCGCTACGAGGCTACGGTGACTCGTCGAAGATCCCAGGAGGCCCAAGCCCAGCACTTGGCCAATCAGGAGGCAGGCCAGGCTCGGCAGTGAATCCGCAGACAGGCCTACCGACCCAAGACGCCAGATTCAGTGCCAGCGGATATAGCGGATACCCAGGACACTCGCAATACGGAGGCGGTCCTGGCGCCGGTGGACCTCAATCGGGCCAACAAGGCGGCCATCAAGGCTACGGCGGCTACAGCGGAGGCTACGGAGGTAATTATTACAACAACAGCAATCGAGGCGGCTGGGGCGCAAATTACGGTCATTGAAATGGGTGGGCGTTGGATCGTGCTCCCTTCCACACAAGACATGTTATTGATGTTATTGATTGATCAAACAATGGGGGAGTCACAGCTCCTCTTCTCCCCCTCGACATGAGTTTCTTCTGCGAGCAATTCGAAAGTACCTAACCAATTATTCTTGAAGCAAGGGTTTTCAGGCTTATCACGGGAAGCGAAAAATGAATTGAATTGAATCGAATTGGCAGGCAGGCAGGTGGGAGGAGGCCTGCATTGTATTCTAGACTTTGTTGTGAATGATGGAAATCGAAGACGTTTCTTCCGTGCTCTTTCCCTGCCTCCCTTCTACCTACACTATACTCTGCACGACACCCATCACCTCCCCCTCCTCCTCCCCTCCACCAACAACAGTTCCATTTCCCCTCCTACCCCCGTTACTCCCGATCCCCTCGCTCACCCCCTCCCCAAATCGATACTCGACATTGAAAACTTCATGAGGGATCACCCTCCCATGAAACTTCCCCCGGATCGAGATCGTAAGAATCAGCCCCGGCCCCGAATACCGCGGTCGAAATGACAGCATGCCCTTGGTTTCCGGTTCATGACGCACATTCAATATGCGGACGCCGCGCTGGGGGTCGAAGGTGTCGCTGAAGAATTGGCCCACTGCGCGGCTGGCTGTGTAGTCGAGGATGTCGATGCAGATTTCGGTGTTGGAGGGGGACCAATAGCCTGTGAACTAGGAGGGTGTTAGGGGAGGGTGTTAGGGGAGGGGGACGCACCAGGAAAGTGTGATCTGTGTCGATTTTTATGGAACCGGCGGGCAGTTTGGTACAGTCTGCCCATGTAAGGGTCCTGTTTTGGGAAGCGCGGGCTTTGAGGTTGTGAGTTGGGGGTGGATTGATAGATGCGCTTAGGACGTGGGAGAAATGAAGGGACGTTTGCAGTATGAGGGTCATGATGATGGGGATATGCATTGTGGCTCTGGCGCGCAGTTTCGCATAGGTGGTTTTCGTAAGAGATAGATCTGGTTAAGGGCGACGTTTTCTCTGCCCTTCCTTATATGCGCATGTGTGGGGAGAAGGTGGCTGTTGGTGTCCACAGGGCGTGACTACAGATTCATATAGAACGAGACATGTTAGATTGATCACGATCAAAGCAGTCGTATAGGATATTGACAAGCAAGACCAATCTTGTTGCACAAGGTTTTTACGGAAGGGAACACTAGATTCTGTGGTCACTTGAGCCATTTCTCGAGAGACATTTTGACGTCGAAGTCGACGTTGTCTGTTGGATCGCAGCGTAGGACAGCGTTGGTGTCTTCCTTTGAAACGCAAATTCATACGACAGAAAACGCAAAATACAGGATCACTTGTGCAGAAGATACATTGGTGTATTTGCTGAGATTTAAATTCAAATCACAACGTGCCTCTGTTGCAGTCGTGACTTGACCAGAAGAGTGTGTTATTTGATCATACCATCCTTCAAAGTGTCATCCGAAAGATGATGCTCTTCAGCAATACGACAAGACCAGGGAGGTGAGTCTGAGTAGTTGTCAAGCATGGATGTAAGTCATAAGGTACGACAATAGACATATGCCAAGGTCAAGTGTGCCCAGGCTTTTTGCAAATGGTGAAAATGATGGGCCTGCCTAGCCCTGATATCATTTCCAACTCTTTTCAGCTTAGTGTTGAACTCAGGAGCGCGACTTCATTTCGTCAACATCTTCTTTTCGCGTCCTTCACTTCTTGCAGGCTTTGACACTACACACTTTTGTTGCTTTCTCGCGTCTATTTTCGCATATCTGAGGTCGTGCTACCTGTGCGACTCCATATTCATCACGTCTTACATCCCCAGTACCATCCGGTCTCTAGTTGCCAACGCCATGGCAAGCGACGAGCCTGAAATTGGCGATAAAGGTTCGTTTTAGACACTTCATAATTCACTTCGCACACCCAGCCTCCGGATTCTTCCAGTGGTTGCACGCGCGACCATGCGCATGCTTCTGCCTGTTTCCTTCTCCGCCTCCTGTGCAAGTCGCTCCCGCTAATTCGTCTTAGCCACCTGGAATTGGAACGGCGCCACCCCCGGTGGTGAGGTCTCAGAAAAGAAGACTGAAGGCGAAGCCGCCGTCACATCCAAACGAGGCAATACAATCAAAAAAGCTGCGAAGCCCGACGACCCTGCCATCGCGCTCTCCCGCTCCGGCAACGATGTCGTGAAGAATCAATCCGAACTCCAAGTCGAAGAGAAACATCCAGACAACAAGAACGGAGGTGGTGCTGACACGGCGCCGGGCGGGGAAGATGGCCCTGACAAAGACGGTGTTGAGCGCCCGGATCGTAACGACGACGTGATGGAGACTGACGAGGAAGAGGCGAAAGAGGCCGAGAAAGAGAAGAAGACACCCAAATCTAAGACACCAAAGGGCAAGGCAGCAAAGGCCTCGACTGCGAGTGCGAGCAAGAAGGGCAAGGCTGACGACGCCGCTGAAGCGCCCAAAGACAAGAAAGCTAAGACTCCTGCAAAGATCGCTAAGAAAGAAGAACCTGCTCCAGCAACGAATGGAGTGAAGAAGGGTCGTGGACGGCCAAAGGGCGCTGCGAAGCCCAAAGCCAAACCGGTGCCGACCGCGGCTGGGGAGAGGAAGCCTAGAGGACGGCCAAAGAGTCAGGCTGCCCCAGCGGAGAAGGTGCAGAGTGGACGAGTGGAGAAGAAGGGGAGTGGGAAGAAGGCAGCGATTGGTGGAGCGAAGAGAGGTAGGAAGCCAAAAGCTTAGATGTGGGTAGACACTGCATGTTAGCACGACAAACGAATGCCTACGGTAATCTGGAATAGGACACAAAAGGAGCTATGGTACTGGAGGCAATTAGGATGGCGAAACGCGTTCGTGTCATATGAGGAAACGGACAGATTGCCTGCGTTTGGTGGATTCTTATAGACAGACTTATGTAACATAGCTTCAGCTGAATACGTGTTCCACGTGCAGGTGAGGAGGAGCCTTTCACCTTGATGAGTTTGTATCGTTGCACATCAACTTCCTGCGCTCCTTTCCCTCAATGTGCAGGGTTCTCGAGCCATATTCACAACTCTTTCGATTTCACTTTCTACAACAAGCATTTGTGCCAACATGTGGATTGGCCATGTCACATGGTATCGGAGATCTATTATTAAGCCTCTACTGGGGCTGCCGCTTACGAGATGCTCTTGCCACACAACCTATATGCTGCGATGGGTCGCGCAATAGTTGTTTCATTCCTCGCGCTCTTCACTCCTACAATTTCCAGGTCATTCCACAACAATGGACGACGTTCCTCTCAAGACCCAGTCGTTATCTCATGCAGCATGATCTATATAAAGCGTCAGAAATCCACGCCTTTCAGCCGCATGCATGCAAGACATCTGACGTCTGCGCATGGTGCTCTCTTGCGCCAACTCGAATCTCTGCATTAATAACATCACGGCTAGTCCACGGACAAAATACTTTTGGTTGCTGACTGGCAGCCTTGTCACCATGTCTGATTCGTATTGCAATACTGGACTATGTACACGGGGAGTGATCACAGCCTAACTCATCATACACAGCCATGTTTCTCCACAGCCTGACCAAGCCCAGCTTCGCTACCATTCTCACCGCGCTCTACACCTCCCTCGCCTCCGTTATCCCACCACCCATCCCCTCTAACCCTTCCATCGTCTCAAATCTCACAACCCCTCCCCTTCCCACCACCTCCAACTTTACCCTCGGATGGATCCCCGAAGAACTAACCGTAACCTGGGCACCCACCACCGGCCCCCTCGCCGGCGCATTCACCGACCTCGACGCCTACGAATCCACTATCAGTTTCCTCTCTCAGGCCGTGCGACAACCCTTCGATGAGGCAGTCCGACCCCAAACATTCGGCAAAGACACCGTCGAAATATACGTCAGCGGGCTGCCCGCCGGCAGCATGATCCAGACGAATTTTCTCTGCTGGGGCTTCAATCAGGCATTCTTCGCAATCGGACAGAATGAGAGGTACCTCTATGGAAGGTACACGATTTTCTAGGAGGAGAATCCGACGGCAGGGCCGGTTGCTAGGGGGTTCATCGAGTTCAGGGAACCCTCACCGCGGACCTTGACGAGTGGGGATGAAGGTGGGGACAATAGCACGGTTACGTCGTCGTCGTCGGCCTTGACGTCGCGATCCGACAACAATTTAATCTACGCTCACGTGTTCCTCGAACACCAGCCCCACCATGAGCATCGCCAATACTACGTCCCGATCATAAGCGCGATGGCTTGGATCGCGACGGCGGGAATTGATAAAGAAATCACAGACTATACTGTGTTCCCAGCGTTCGGAGTATTTCTCACTATAGAAGCCAATGCGTTGCATGTGCGGTACCGTTACATGATATTTTTGTTGACTTATGTGGCGATGATTCCGACGATGGGGACAGGCGCAAGCGTGCCACAGTGGAGGTCGGTCAACGCTTTCATGTTTCATGACACTCTGGAGCAGAAGGTTTTGACTGTTCGGCTATTTTGATCATGTTCGTTGGAATTGAGGGGTTTAGCTGCGGCGGAGGTGGGCGGGGGAGGATTTGTGGGTTGGGGAGATGTATGAGATGGGGCTTTGTACACTGCTACCGCTCGCTTGACAGTGTGTGTAGATGTCAGGCTCTTGCACTCTCTTTATGGGCTTCCGAAGCCCACTTATCTTTCAGAAGTCAACATGATGGATTGAGAACGACGTACCGGAGAGTCAATTTTGCATCAAATGTTTCATGGGAGAAATGACTACACCTGTAGCAGCAAAGACATGTCCCGTACGATTCTGATACTTGGAAGGAGGTCTGTAGATTTAAAACAGCAGTGAGTGGATGTCAAAACCCGATATAAATCTTTCGGACAGGACTTCAAGCTTATGATGGGGAATTCGACTTCAAATCCAGGTTGACCATCCAATGCCCATCTATAATATCTCTAAGAGAACATACCACCGAAATACAAACAATAATACCTTCAATCTGAAAGGTAGCCTCTCTCAAGGTCGACAACCTATCATCCAAAGCAATCACCCACACCAAAGTCTCGACGTCATACATTCTCCTCCCGCCTCTCCTCCGCCCTTCCCTCCATCGCACTTTCCATTTCCATTCCCATGACATCTCTCCTCCAATCTCAGTCAAATGACGCCCCTCCGATCTCCCTTGCTCTCCAGCCCAGTCCGCAAACGCACAATCCTCCTCTCCCTCTCCATCCCCCCACTAGCCTACTACCTCACCAGACCCATTTCCACAACCACCCCTATGTCAGCCGATCCCCCAACCTTCCCTTCCCGCCCCTACAAAACCCCACACACCACATTCCCTTACACAGCCACCGACTTCCACCGCCAAGATCCCTCCACCGACACATCCTTCTACCGCTCCGCGCGCTTCGTCACCCACATCGACGACCACGCCATTGGTTTGCTAAGGCAGTATTACGCGCAGAATCTGCCGCGGGAGGGGACGGTGCTGGATTTGTGTTCGAGCTGGGTCAGCCATTTCCCTGCTGAGTTGGAGGAGAGGGCTAGGGTAGCCGTCGAAGGGAAGGAGGGGAAGGATCGAGAGGATCGAGGGCTGCGTGTCGTAGGCGTGGGGATGAATAAGGCTGAATTGGACGCGAACCCGATTTTGTGTGATAGGGTGGTGCAGGATCTTAACGCCAACCCTGGCCTTGTTGGGATAGGTGTGGGTGATGGTGGCGGTGGCAATGGCGAGCAGGGGAAACTGGATGCGACAGTTTGTGTAGTCAGTATCGACTACCTGACCCGTCCACTTGAGGTTCTGGACAGTGTGAGGGCGATGACGAGGGAAGGGGGAATGGTGCATTTGGTCGTTAGTAATCGGTGTTTTCCGACTAAGGCGGTGAGTAGGTGGTTGAGGATTAGTGAGGAGGAGAGGCTGGAGATGGTGGGTGATTATCTGGCTTTCAGTGGGTGGGAAGGCGTGGAGATAGTTGAGGTGTGCGATGGTCGGGTTAAGGAGGGGGAGGGTGCGGAGGACAAGGGGGAGGTGGGGAGGTTGATGGGGTTTCTGGGGATGGGGAGTGGGAGGGTGGACCCGTTGTGGGTTGTCAGGGGAAGGAAGGGTGGGGAATGATATTTGTGGGAGAGTTCTTGCGAGTGATGGTCGTTGAGGGATGTTTGTGAATGATTTGTGTTCGACGATTGCGAAGCGCTACAGCATATGCCTGCATTCTCGGCCAGGTCTTAGCCCCCTCATTTCTCTTACATATTCCAAGGGTCAACAGGACTCAGATGAAGATCAGAAAGCCCGTCTAATGTACGCTGCTCTTCGTTAATTTGTTGGGTCCGACAAAATGAGTTGAAGACAGATTGATGATATTTTATTGGGTACCGTCCACAAAGATATCGAGACAGGCCTGATCACACGAAACCACATTGACAATTTTCCTTCGTTCAGCATCATCGACATAATTTGGCCAACAGCAGACCTCGAAGAGACTGCCAGATCAGGAACTAAAATACCGGCTGTTCGTTCAATGGGTACACCGGTAAAGGATCTCAGTCAGCTTATTAAAGAGCACCATACACAATATGCTCAGAATCATCAAGACTGCTTTGGAGATACAGTGACATGTATAGACGTAAAGAGAGATGCTGAAATTCGGTGGACGAAGGGCGCGCAGCAGTATCTGAAGGCTACCATGATGGAGCACATAAGAATAGGGAGGGGTGGACGTCGACGATGTATCCGTGACTATATTTCTCAGGTTTTGAGAATAATTTATCTACTGGTTTCTTGTAGGACCGTCCTGGTTTGCGCTTGTGCAGCCGCTTATATGCGGCGTTGTGGTTGCCATGTGTGTCTCCGAAGTTTCCCTACAACACACAGTGTATGACTGGTGTCGAGAGAAGACTAGCAAAACACAGTGTTGTGTTGACCTCATTGTTCTTCTAAAAAAATTTTGACCTTAAATGCGGATGTGTCTCTTCCATGTTCAGACCCGTACTGCTCCTCGCTTCGAAACGAATCTTGATCTATCAGTCTTCGAACCAATGAACACAGCATGACTCATCTTCCCTTTGAGCTCATCTATATCATTCTCGAGAACCTGGAGAAAGATGTGAAAGATAGCCTTGCACCTCCCTATAGAAACGATCTACATCACGACCGCCAAATCGGCCAGAATGATTGGCAGAGCTTATTCCTAACGTTATCTACAATACTGAATTTGTCGCTAGCCAGCCGCAATCATCGAATACAGATAGCTCCGAGACTAGCTCATCATCTGGCACTCGTTTTGAAGCAAGTTGCCATTGCTCCATGGCCTTTGATTGACACGCCTGAAACGGAAATCAATGTGCATGGGAGTGTTCGATCGCTCTTGAGTCTGGCACGATATGTCAAAAGCATCGATGCCCTGGACACAAGACTTCAAGCTTGGGCTGTCCATCAGACTCTACCAGTAAAGCCCTGGTATCCTAACTGCGGCCCTCTTTGGCAAGCTGTAAAACACCGCTCTCTCTGCTGGGCCGAATTCCTCATGCCCCAATTTTACCGCCTTCAATGCTTGGCACCAACCACATTTTGTCCGAGATACAATGCGAAGAAAGACAGGCTTGAACTCTTCACCTGTACAATGGCTGAGGAGGAGATGGCGTTGAAACGCGATGAGGATTTCGAGGGTCTCAATTTCCGAGAGATGGAAAAGGCAATGGAGCTCGACAAGAACAGCGGATGTCGAAAAGTGCTATTCAAGTACTGCAGAAGGTACGATTGAGGAATATTTTGGCGGAAAAGAGTATCAAGTCACACGAATCGAAGTCAACATCAGACATAAGATCAGCGCAGAGGGATAGGAGCGCGATCGAGCAGCCCCAAAGCTTCTTACTTCCGACATTCATGCCTCTTTTGTCGAATAAATGCAAATAGATTTCGTGTATTGATCATGTTATTGATCAAGTGATTATGGAAAGAGCACCAGCAATATGAGAAAAAAGAGTGCCTAGGAAGCCGATGAAGCATGTCAGATCCTCCTGTCAGTGTTGAAGATATAAAGTGATTTCATTGTCGTCACGTACCCTCTGCGCAGTTGGTGCCCTTCCAAAATTTCTTTCACCCTTTCCATCACTTACCGGTCGCGACATTCCAGTTTCTATGTTGTTGGTTACCCGACTTGATCGTACGGAGCGTCTGGGCATCATCAACGACATTACTTGAAGAGAAGTGCTTCACCGGAAGACATACGCTTTTACAAAAGATGATGTCAATAGGAGAACGCCTGGATGTCAGACGGTCGTGAACAGCAGAAGCTTAGGTGTACAAGCCCTGGGACGTGCCTTCTGGGCCGCTACCGTTTCCGATATTTGCGTACGGAAGCCTGGAAAATGTGTAATCCGTTCTTCTGAATACAGACAATGGTATTTATGGCACAACTTCAAATACATCGTCCTGCAGAGAAAATACTGCAAGACGGAGATTGTTTGATCAACAATCATTTATGTTTAGCCTTATGTCTTGTACTACGCCCTTGTAACCGTTCAACAAACATAGACCGTGTATTTACGCCATCGCATGAAATCAGAACAAACTCTTTTCAGAATTTTTTGAATTTTTCAACTTTAAAGAAGCTCAATTTGATGTATCGTCATCCTCAAATGCTGCAATATTTTCACCAGCAGAAACAACGTCGAGACCCTGGCGTTAGACTCCCACTGCATGTGACAAACATGTAGCGACTGTGAAAGAATCACAGAACGTGTCTACCTAACAGCTTTGTCGACATATCTAAAAATGACACCATTTCTCTATCTAGAGCTTGCTCGAAGATTCTGACTTTCATAAATTAGTCTACCTATATCTATCAGGTCACGCCTCAATAACGCGATACATCTTACCAGTCCAATACAGAACATTGTCTCACGTAGTGTCGCAGCACTCGAAGCCTTCTATAAGAATAACCCAAGGCCGAGCTGCTCCTTCACTGACCCGTCATTTCTCCCGGCGTTTCCAAAACCATGGACAAATTACCATCCGAGATACTTGTTATGATAGCCGAGAATCTAAGACAAGGACCTGAGCTTGTGATTCCTCTCCGCCGCGCTTACATTCCTTACGAGTCAACGTTTGATCTATCTTCTTTACCACCAGACCCATATCGCCCCCGGCGGCCTGTCCCTGGTGACCCGCCGCTACGGGGACCTCTTTTACAACATACTCGACCATTAATGAGCGAAGATGAAAAGGCTAAATATTTCTACACGACGAAAGCTTGGAAGAAATTGGACTGGAGCTCATGCCTCAATTGGGATTTCGAATCGCGTGAAAATTGGGTAGCAGTCATCCAGACCCTGCTAGATCTTCTCAACTTCTCACTCACCGGCCGCAAATACCACGTAATTGTTCACCCTGTCATGCGGCAAGTCTTGGATTTGATCATGAACTGCATAATTCCTCCGTGGCGTACAGGAGACATAGTCTACGCCACCAACGAGTCTGGAGTTCAAGCCGATCTAAGTCAATACCTTGAGAGCATTACCCGACTAGACCGTCACTTTCACCGGTGGGCAGCTCGAAAGACGGCTCCTCCAGATCGCTACCGAATCAAGCGTTTCACGAAGCAAACCACACGTTTCGATTACGACACCTGGGCACAGCGATTGGGAGACGATAGATTTTACATGCCAGACCTCGGACGCTATGGTACCAGCACTCATTACACGCCGGATTTTGACCCGCTCTGTCTTAGCCGGCAAGTCAACACAGAGCCACTGGCCCTTCACATGTTCCCGAAACGTCTTCACCATCATGAGCCAGCTGGCATACTGTTCTTGCTGAGAAGCCTGATCAACGAAATCATCGAAATTAGGTATCTTACCAGGACAGATGAATTCGAGATCTTGCTTCGTCGTCCAGCTACAGGACGGGCTCCGACAACATCTAGTCGGATGAATTTTGAAGGACACCAGGTTCAAACGCTTGTCACACTTAATAAAGATGAGATACGTTCGCTAGATTAGCGAATCTACATGAGCGGAAGGGCCACGAAGCTGCTGCAAGGACATGTGCTTCAGAATCAAGTTTTCTATTGAAGGCTCTGAGCTATTCTAGACCTTAGATGTGGGGCACACTAGGGCGTGAACTGGATATCTCAAGTCACTCACAATACTTCCTAGATATTTTCACTGTGTTCTCGGTTTCGAAAGTTAAGCAAAACTAAGGTTCTCTCAAAACATTCTCAAATCACTCATGAAAGAGGAAGAAAAGGCAAACATCATGACTCAACATAAACACAACCCTGGTAACGAGAAGACGTCGTGTTAAGCTACTAATAAAGAGGGTGTCCACAGTACAAAAAATGTGATACGTGTCGAATCTGACAGATATGTAATGAGCCTAGAACGTATGGGACAAGGTCGAGTCAACGTGTTGATCCTTGAAAAGGCAATGAAGCCTTTTAAATCCTGCCACTAGTGTCTACAACACCATCACATATTCTATTGTTATCACATTCTCATTGTCCTGCCCCAATACTTCTTTGTGTGGGAAGATCTGTCTTCTTATTTAGAACATTGCCTGCGAGACAAAATATGCTTTGCGTATAACCTTCCAACCTCGCAACCAAATCTTGCAGCATGGACACCCTACCGACAGAGCTCCACAAGGCCATATTTGACAATCTAGGGAATGACCTAGAAGAGCTATTCCGAATCCGTTACCATATTAGGCATTCAAGGGAGCTAGTCAAGGAGAACCAAAACAAAATCTTCGGAGTGTTTTCCACACTCTTGAATCTATCACTTACGAATTCCTATTACGAGTACCTAGCAACGCCAATACTGAAATTTTACCTGGCGGCTATGTTAAAAGAGGTCAAATTAGCGCCATGGGCATGGCGTAAGCAACACCGTTCCATAAAGCCCACACGATCGAACGGATTCTACAGATATCTCCTATGGAACTATGTGGACAGCATTGCATATCTGGATCGCCGCTTTCGACCCTGGGCAGTGCGAATGACAGCTCCCGAGTATCCCCACCGTGTCACGGTCATGGCAAAGAGACCTGGACGGTCTGGTATGGAAGGATTTCCCCTCGAGCTCATGACTATATTGTATATACTGAAACGACTTAATTCAAAAATATTGCGGACTAGGTACCACGGAGACACCAACGAGATCGAAATTGCGACAAAAGACATGGCTGATAGGATGGCTCTAATAGAGCGAGGAACAAACGACAAACTCCTCAATTTTCGTCAGATGGACCGCGCGATGGAAGCAGATAAGGAAAATGATTTTCGAAATGTGCTTACGATCTTCCGTAAGGCTGTTGGCTTGGAGATCTGAATTGCAAATTTCTCTTTGTTACCATAAGGGCACCAGAGGGTAGTTGTCAGGGATGATCTGCAGGACGCTGCGAATCGAGAACCATGCTCTCTATGTAACTCAACGACATTCATTCTTCTACCTCCTGGTGAGTCTTTCACTTATGCAAAGGGATGATATGGCACACTCAATTCATATTCGAAGGTCTAATGGCACATCTCTAAAATGATATTATTACCTGGGAATGATTTAGCGCTCATGCGCTTCTCCTCGCGTGTTGATAATACGCAAGCTTCTTAGACTGTGTTACCAGTGTTGCGATAACGCTCGCCATTGTTTCTGCATTTGTCATCTCACACTCGTACCACTCGAGTCACAGTAACGTGTGTTCTTACGTATCTGCAATTGCTCGCGATTGTCTTCTCAGAAACATCCGATCTCCTCGAACGAGGTACTCGCGCCATGGACAAGTTACCGGTCGAAATCCACAACCTCATTCTCGAGAACTTAAGACAAGATGCAGATAATGTCCTCCATTTCGACATACATCGCCGATACCACACATCAGTAACGATGCTGACGAAGAATAATTGGGAGATCTTGTTTCAGACCTTTTCCGCGCTACGAAACCTATCACTAGCAAATCGCTACTATCAAATGTTGGCAGCTCCGATCCTGAAGGCCCAGCTATCAATGGTCCTTCGGCAAGTCAAAATGCCCCCGACGACGTGGGAATCTGCTGACCAAGATTATACTGATCAAATTGTAACTTGGGGGAGCTTGGCTGAGCATAATGATCAATGGATATCTCTCAAAAATAGACGCACTCGATCCTCGTTTTCGAACTTGGGCAGTACGAAAAACAGCACGCAAGACACAACTCTGCATCATTCTAACTCCGAAGGCCCTCGATCGCGATATGGTGGATAGACGCTTTGATATCATGACACTGCTATGTCGGTTGAACAACTTCAATACCGCCGTGTATCGTTTCAGCTATAATAGACAAGAGAAGATAATTGAGATATGCCCAGCGGAAATTATGGTCAATAGCCTGCAGCCACAGGGTTGGGATGAGTTCAAGAGTTTTAAGTCACGAGACATGCATAGAGCAATGGCGACGAAGAAGAGATATGAATTGCGTGATATTCTCACTAAATATCTCAAGCTCAATTTTCGAAGATGTGGGAAAACTTGAGCACCTAAACGATCAGTTGGATGATCATACAAAATGAGAAGGAGAACAAAGAAATCTTGAAATGGTCATTAGATTCATCGGTTAGGATTGCCGAATGATTCCTTCTTTCAGACTAGCAGTCACTTGAATATGCACTGAACAATGCGGACTCCGATGTGCGAGCTTGCATGTTCGATAATGTCATAATAATTAGCTCGACACTTTCAATCGACGCCATGGCGTGTGAATCATTTCATTGTTCAGGCATGACACTCTCTCATGTGAAAGCACAAGGCTATATTTAGCTTAGCTTGACATCCACTATTGCTTAAAATTCTTGTTTCTCTATCTCGATCCTCCTTCTTCCGAACATCAACCATAAAGAAAATGAGGTTTGTCGCTACATGCTAGAAATCATCTTTACGACGTGCGAGCCATTCGTACGTCATGGACGACCTACCAACCGAGATACACAAAATGATAATTGATAATTTGCAAGAAGATGCAGAGAAGGTATTCCTCAAACCAAATGCTTTCATCGGATCTACTAAGGGAAAAAAATCCTTGCGCAAGCTTGTTCGCGCCTTGCAAGGGCTACTGCATCTATCTCTGACCAGTCACTACTACGAAGCTCTCGCAACCCCAGCCTTGGACAAGCAGCTAAGAACTGTTTTGAGGGACATCAAAGATACGCCATGGCAACGAAATCGATTTGAAAAACGAGACAACAAATCAACGAGGGGGAAAGACTCATGGTGTATCTATCCGGAATATGGGAAATGCCACTACCATTTTGGCATTGGGCAGTGCGTAACACAATACCCCAAAAACCTTACAGCATACTTTTTGCACCTTCGACTGAAGACACATTCATGTCTTTGATTCGCTTGACGGGTCTAGCGCCAGATATGATTCATAAGGAGAACGGGTACAACGGTGATATCAAAATAATGACGGATCCGACGGGTGAGACTATCGCCGAACGAAGGCGTCAAGATGCTAGAATGAAGAGACAGATCCTCGCTGGATTCGCAGAAAAGGCTCGCCGGGAGGAAAAAGCAATGAGGCGGATCAAGCAGTAGCTTTTGGGCCAAGTGCTAGTGAAGGCGAGCAACGGTGGCGCACACACACGAAAGCCTAAGGATCTTTTGGCTTTCGGCTTTCAAGCCAACATGTACCTCTGAATCAATGAGCATGCTATATATTCCCACTTCTTCTCTTCCTTCTTCTCCATCTTTCCATCACTCATCTGCCGCATCTCAAGAATCTCGCTATATCATTAATTGTAACTATAAATATATACACACAACAGCCCACGATCCACCAAGGACACTCTACCCACCGAGCTCCTTACCCAAGTAGCCAACGAGCTTACAGACGACCTGGCCCTCATCAACCTCAAGGGCTTGTACTGGCACCCCTCAAACCGCCAAAAACGGCGACAAATCTACCTAACCATTCAGACGCTCCACAATTTCTCCCTCACAAGCCGCCGCTCCTACGCCATCGCAACGCCCATCCTCCACAAGCTCCTCTCCGACATGCTAAAAGCACCTTGGCGTCGCCCTCTGGAGACCATCGACCCATTCTCGCAACTATTGGCGCTCCAAAGTTACGTCGACTGCATTGACTATCTACCGCTCTCTCTTCAAGCGTACGCGGCAAGGATTACGGCGCCTGAAAAGCCGTACCGATTCCCACTCGTCTTTCATGGGTCCAGACGGATACGGCGATGCTGCGGACAAAGCTCGCCGAGGGACTTGCCGGGGTTCCAGGAGAGGAATGCGGAGGTTTTGCCCCTGTTAGGGCGGCTGGTGGATTTGAGTGGAGGGAGTATCACGTTTGGGACATGCGTGGATGGTAAGGAGGTTGAGGTGCGCAGGGCAAGTGAGGAAGAGAAGGAGCAGTGGTTGTGGATGAGATGGCACCAGATAGCGCTGATGTCTTGAATTCGATGCCATGATTTAATTGTTCGTTGGAATAGTTGGTGTTGGATATGTAATTACCAAGCATCAGTAAATTGATATCCTGAATCTAATGTACATAGATCTTTCGTTCCTGGGTTCTGTTAAAATGAGTCACTTGAAGCCATTCTGATGATCGTGGCGCCGCCACCCAGCCTTGTGTTCCCCACTCTGCGAGCCATCATAAATTTTCACCTCCTCCCATCTCGACTTCCTCAGAAAACTGCACCATGGACCGACTTCCTCAAGAAATCATCACCCTCATCCTAGAGCACCTCGAATCAGACCTGCTAGACGACAGAGATGATCCCGATGTGCTCTACTACCCACGACCGCAGGAAAAATGCCCTCTCGTCGCAATCTACAACTTCTCACTGACAAACCATAACTATTGCAAGATCACCACTCCCATTCTCCATGACATTCTCGACGACATATTACACACCACGCACCCACCCCCTGGCGCAGCCGCTGGGGAAACTCTGCCCCTGCCCGTTGGAAATGCTCCACTCTCAACAATTGGCTTGATAGCCTTCGCTTCTGTAGTCTAGGGTTTCGCCGGTGGATCGTACGAAACACAGCACCAACTAGACCATATCATTTTTGGTTGGAGACGATGGAATATTCCGTTAGCGATACTAGCAAGTTCTTCCGATTTTACGCTTCAGTCTTGCCTGCAGTTTTTCCGGACGAGCTTTGGGAGGGCTATGAGGTTGTGGGTCTGTTGGGGATGGTGAGGGGTATGAGTGATGTGATACGGTTGACTTATCATCCTTTTACGGAGGAGATTGAGGTTTGGTGTGAAAATGATGGTGCTAGGGGTGCGGACAGGGTTCATCCTCCAGCGAGACCACGCATAGAAGACGACTTTTACTGAGAAAAGGAATTGTGCAGTCTATATTTGTGGAGTCCGAGCGATTCTAGATTCAGTGGGAGAGGAGGGAGCTCATGTCTGAGCCACCCATAGCCAGCATGTGTGTTGCCTCAAGCTATTCGGGTTGTGAGTACTCAGGGCTTTTTTAATTAGGAATAAAACCGATAATTCCGGGGCTATCCGTAGCAAAAACATATAAAAAATAACTTCTGATTGGTTTGCAGCCATCAATGCTCGTTAAAAATTAGTTCAAACTTGGAATTATTATAGGGCAAAGTATCAAGAAACTATTGAAGAAAGTTCAAATCTACAAGATACCTAGCTGCTAATCCAAACCTACGGCTATTTTGGGGGGGGGATCTACCCATTAGGCGACGGAATTATCGGTTTTTATTCCTAATTTAAATAAGCCCTGAGTACAAGAGCCTACATTACGCTTGGACTAACATCAATGCCTGTTCTGATTTTCAGTACAATAAAGGCTTAAAGAGTTCCGAAAAGTTAGCAATCCGGAGTCACTCTGAGTCCGAGCTTTGTATGGGCGGGTGAAGCCTCAGATTTGAGAGGTCAAATGAAATTTTTCGATTGAAAATCGTCCCTCTGAGACGAGGACGATGAGCTAAGTTTCTGATACTATTATACGATATACGTGACTCTCTGCTAGGCATGACATCGAATTTCATATCCCATGTTCGTAAACCACTCCACTCTACTAAATAAATAGACTTAAGCATCTACACAATTCTGAATGTGGCGCCGCCACTTCTCTTGCTAGTCAAGCCCGTCACTCGCGCGAATAAAAGATCTTTCCGCGATGAATCTGTTTGCTTTGCACCTATTCATCTCTCTCAATCATGGATAGATTTCCTCCAGAGGTATACGTGCTTATTCTGAAAGACCTCCAACAAGACATGCCTGCCGAAGATGATATTGACTGGGACTTCCGGCTTCTACATTGGAAGAAACATACATTTCTACATGACCTCCACCATCTTTCGACGACGAACCGCTTCCATCACGCATTGTTAGCGCCTATCGTGGAAGGTCTCCTTTTCAAGGTTCTTGTCCATATCCCTGTACCCCCTTGGCTCAGCCATAACAGAAACTCGCTGTCGGCACGGAGCAAAAACAAGAAGCTCAATGACTTCCTCATGTATCTGACTATCTGTACCCCTGGGTTTCGTCGATGGATAGTCCGAATAACTGTACCTCGAGAGCCATACTACTTCTCATTATTCTCGACACATTTGGAAGTTGGATGCGAAGTGGAGCCTTTGCGGTCCGATCTGCCTTGTCAGCTGCCATCACGCGTATTAGGAAGATTGAAGGCTCTTTACAAGGAAATGAACTTTGTATACCATCCATACACCGATGAGATCGAGATCTACGTTGGAAGACAAGAATAATGCTTTCCCGACAGTAGGAGTTCAAGATTAAAGGGTGGATCCCCGCTTTCCCTGGTCAATTATGCGACACTATTTAGACGAGGGTGTAGAGTGAACAGATTTCATGGACAAATCGATGAGGAGATGGACGTACATTCCGCTGGCTTAGCTAGATCGAGATGTTATCAATATGCATTGCCCGGGCTGCATGAGCTCACGCACTCAGATGTCAATGCTCTACAGCGATTGCGAAGGTAACCGACGAGAATGAAAGACCTCGCTGATTTTAATGGAAGACCCACAGATCACTCCAGGTGACGAACGCCACCGCACATCTCCACAATAACTTTGAATTTTTGGCGTGCGGAAATGGCTTGGTCCCATTTCGTGACTCAGAGCCCCACAGATGATAAAACTTGTCATTAACATGCTGTGAATCTTCACTTGCTTCATGGTTCTTGAACCTCGTTCACCATGGACAAATTACCTAAGGAGATACTTCAACTTATCCTCAAGCCACTCGTACGAGGGTCGATGTATGAGCTGGATTGTCGGAAAAACAGAGGTCCCACTGGCCCAATGGGTCACCGCTCAAGGCAATCTTCCATCTCTCGCAAACAAATCGCCACCTTCACGAGTCCATAGCCCCTCTTCTGAAAGATTTTCTGGACCATATGTTATGGGACGAATTTCAACCTCCCTGGCGAAGTTGCGGTGGAGGTTATTCCGCTGTGAGATGGGACAAAGGAGAGGCCCTCGGAGGGTGGCTAGAACACTTGATGTACGCCAGCCGAGGGCTATGTCGATGGGCAGTCAAGAACACAGCTCCGGAATACCCGTATCGATTTTCTCTAGATGCTTTCGTCACTCTCAGAAATTTAGAAGCCTCGGAAGACGACTTCGATTCGTTCATCGCAGCTAATCTGCCCGAGGATGTACATGATGATTTTCCCGAAATAATGCGGGCACTGGCCGTGCTGAAACAGTTCGATAAAAGAATACGCTTGAGATTGTATGCATACAATCGAGAGGTGGAGATCTGGTGCGATACACAGAGTATGGAAGAAGAAAAAGCCGACAAGACTTCGCCATTGGAGGAGGATACCAACTGTGCGAAATCGCCCGCGCTGATTGGGTCGGATTATCCGTTGCGAAGACTTTCTTGGGTTTCAGACGACATCAGAGACGTGAAAGAGGGGACTTTTACAATTGTTTCAGGAGGATATTTCAAGCCGTATTGGAATGAATCGTTCGGTCGCATCTACAAATGAATGATGTGAATTATCTTGGCAACTCAAATGATCATCTTAGCTCTTTTGGCATCATCATCCGCTATCAAAAAACCACTCATAAATATAGATATGTAATCTTCTCAAATCTGATATCGAAGACCCACATGATGAGCCAAAGCTCCACAAGGCGCACGCCTCCACAAATCCAAAATTTGAGCGAATAAAGAGCCAAGATCTGGCATGCATCCTGCAAAGATTGACAACTCTTATAGCAGCTACGTCGTGAGCCTTAGGTTCTTCCTCCTCGCATCCAGCAGAATTGCGTTTTCACATCTAGATCCAAACCAATGGACAAGCTACCTCGAGAGCTGCTTCTCATGGTTCTAGACAATCTAGAAAGAGATGCCGGTTTCCATTGGATTCCGCAGGAATTGTTATTCAGCGAGAGCGAGAGCAGAGTCTCAAGCCCAACTTCATCTCTAATTGCGATGTTTGACATTTCCCTCACTAATCATCACTATCACGCCATCGTCACTCCACGAATTCAAAAAGTCCTGAATAAGGCACTGGCAAAGGCTCTCGACATGGAAGTACCTTGGGCTAGCTCAGATAAGGCTTTTTTGGACCTCGACTGGAGATTCGAGCCAATTATGTTCTACTTCTACACTCTACGACATTGCTGGCCTATCTTTCGGAAATGGGCAATCTGGAAGTTGTTGCCGACAGCCGAGTGTGGATTGAGATCAGCACATGACGGCATTTTCAATGAGTCGTATTGGAAAGAACGTCAATTTTCAAACCGCGTTTCGGGATTCTACAGAGGCTACCTACCTGTGGCTACTTTCTTTGGCGTAGTGAAGGCTTTTAACCAGGATGTTGTGGAGGTCAGGCATCATGAAGAGACGAATGAGCTATCTATTTGTAGGAAAGCGGTTAAATATGACGATGACACTGAACCAGCTCGTTCTAACTGATGGGTAGGAGAGGATCGGGACAAAGAGACGGAATTGAGAGGCGGGAACAGTATAACGAGATGACAGAAGATTATCATCTACACGAGATTAGAAAACGAATATACAGGCAGCCTGTGCGTAATGAAGGCACGAGCTGTAGTTGACATGAGAATAGCCCAAGAAATACCGCATATTTCAAGATTTGACAAAGGCCACATTCGGTAGACAACATCGCAGAACATTTCCACAGTAACATTTCCCTCAGTACTTTGACCAATAACAGGTTGCTAGCATCTGTCAACCGACTTCCACATACGCCACCAGTCTTTATTTCTCAATTACCTTTAAACTTCCAAAATTTGAAATCTAATATAGAAATCTAGTCCAAAAACAGTCGAAGGCGTCAACGCCATGAGCGCACTCTGAATCAACCTCATGAACTCAGATATAAATATATATACTTCTCCAAGCCGTCCAGATCCTCATCAACCAATTCTGCACACCTCACCACCAAAGCTCCATCCCACAAGCATCCACCCACAACCCTTTCCTCTCATCCAACCCTGCCCATCGCAACCATGGACAAAATCCCCACCGAAATCTTCGACCTCATCCTGCACAACCTCTCCAACGACGTCGAACTCACCAGCGCCGAGACCTGCCTGCACCCCCACCGCGACTTCCCCGCCCACCTAACAGCCCTGCACGCCATCTTCGCCCTCTCCCTAACCAACCACGCCCTCCACATCCTCGTAACCCCCACCCTCCAGTCCATCCTGCACACCTTCCTCTCCAGCGCCATCGCCAGCCCACCCTGGCTTAACCCCCAAAAAACCACGCTCGACGACGAAACGAAATTCGGCGCTCTCTGCTGGTATTTCGCCAGTATTCGCAAGCTGCATCCGCGGTTTAGGGCTTGGGCTGTCAGGATGACGTTGCCACGGGAGGCGTATTGTGTGCCCATGCTACCAGGATCATGCTGGGGTGGCTTTTTTTATGATGACTGGCCGGAGGGCTTGCCGAAGGGGATTAGGAGGGGGATGACGGCGGCGGATATTTTGAGGAGGTTGAAGAAGTTGAATAGGAGGGTTGTTTGCTTGGGATGGGATGAGGAGGCTAGTGAGGTGTCGGTCTGGGCTCGGGGTGGAGGTGGGGGTGGAGCTGGGGCGTGAGGGGAGGGGAGGGACTGGCTGCTTGATGAGGTTAATGAGATAGGTAGGGGTGGGAGATGTGATGATATCTTGGCTGGGACGAAGCAGAGTCGCTGAACATGGGGGGATGTATATAAAGTGATTGAGCAAGTAAAGCTAAGTAATTCTGGCGCATAAATGAAACGACACTCAATGCGCGCTTCAGGCTCAGATCACCCACTCACTCCTCACATACTCTCCACAACCATCACTCCACTCTCCACTCCATCATCCTACCCGCTAATACTACACCCATCTCTCTTCTGACTAAAACACCCCCCTCCCAAAACCGTACACTCCCCTCCTCTCCCAACCCCACACCCATCCACCACCCTAATAATCTCAATCTGGCTGTCCCAAAAGTTCGTTTGCACACTCTTCACCCAATACTGAGCCGTCTGCACCACATCCAGCAACCCCGCCAACGTGAATTTCGGCGGCGCATCCTTCGTATTCAACTGCGCGATCGTCTGCCCGAAACGAACTTGTGCCCCCGTGCCCTCGGGGCCCCTGCCCTGCGCGAAAGCACCCTCAAGGGCGGGGTTGGCGCCGGGGATGTATTGAGCGATGGGATCGCCGAAGTAGGTGGTTTTGAGGGCGGATTCGAGTGTGGAGAGGGCGGCGGCGAGGGCGGAAGGGTCGATGGGTTTGGCGTTGGGGTTGAGGAGTGGGGTGATGGTAATGTTTATCGAAGAGTCTGCCAGTAGGGCTTGGGAGATTGGAAGAAGAGTTTTTTGGTCGATGTCGGGGACGACGTTGTCGGGTTTGATGCTGCTATAGGCGTTGTTTTGGGTTTGGGGCTGAGGAGCGCTGTGGATGAGGGTGAAGAAGAGAGGGGCGAGGGAGAGGAAGGTGTGCAAGACGTGCATCGTTGCTCCGGGAGATGTGAGAGAGCGCGGTAGGAAATTGGATTCGCTTGGTTTTATGGAAGTTATTGAGTGCACTAGGCTGATTTTCTGACTAGGCTGAGCTGGTACTCGAGAATCGTATTCGAGATAGAGATTCGAGACTTTATAAGCAGAGCGTATCTATTCAAACTGCCAGCTTGATTGAAACTTACCGGATGAGTATACAGCCGCAGGAGTACCTCTACATTGAATGTTTACTAAGAATATATGAAAGTTCCATCCCGTGTTTTGGCCCCGTTGACCCCTGTTTGGAAATGCCCAGCCTGTTTTGAGCCATGTATGCAATGCTTGGTCAAGATTCATCTGAAGTAGCAAGCCCAAACATGCACCGAAATATATAATTGCTTGCCATTTCGGGAAGCAACGGTAAGTCACTAGTATCAAGGCCTCCAAGCGTCGCAAACGGGTGTTTAAGCCAAATTTAAAGGATCTAGCTAGACTAGGGGTTAGTGGGCCAGGAGCTCATTTCGCCTAATCTCTTAGGCTTTTACATAGTATTTTGGCAGCCCCTGCTCCATCATTCCTACAATCATTTTTGTTAATTAGGGGGGCTTTTGGAACACCCGCTTACCGTCCTTGTATATAGATCTATAGATATAGACTCTAAAGCTATGTTAATAGGGGGTTTAGCTGGCCTAAAGGCAGCTGTATAGCTTTGCTAGCGAGAGAGTCAGTCTTTGGCTAGCGTGGACACTCGACAGCGAGGTTTCTAAACCTTTAAGCCCTAGGCCGGCACGGCCAATATTAGATTTATGACTTATTACATCATCATGTCCAAGCTCGTCAGACCACTAAGTGCAGAATCTCAGCACTATGGAGGGAAGTCTCTGCTTTCTTGCTCGCTCTGGACTGGAGGGAGGAATAGCAGCGGTGGGGAGTGAGTTGTAGATTGTCCTAGGCCTGGTGGGCCTTCTGCGTACGTCAAATAGGTCGGATAGAAAAGCCGACCGTCAAGTCGACATCTTGCGACTTTCGTTTGCCTTACGTAGGTATGAAAAGCTGGCAAGTCAGAGTCACTGGACCATTTGGAGTGATCTTGAAACGAATGCTTTGAAAACAATAGCTTACGACAAATTGGTTGGTCTAATCTCAGATAGTGGTACTTCAGGTTATGGGCGTCCCCATCGAGTGCCCGCCTCTCGGATTTATGGGGCTTGGCATCTGCTCGTGCGATTCCTTATTTCTTCGTTGCCATGCAATACTCCGCGCATCCATCACTGTACTGAAGCCGTGCGCCACGCGTGCTTACCAGACGGAGCCTGGAACTTGTCAAATTGAGATAAATAGAGTGAGATATTTGTCGTGTTTTCCCAAGGTATCTTGATCACCTTCATGCTTTAGCCTTGAAAAGGCATCACTATTTCTTGATTATTACGAGGTTTGACTTAAGTCACTGTTTTCGCAAGATGGACAAATTATCTCCTGAACTTTTTTACCTTGTGATCGAAAACCTCGAAGAAGACATGTACAAAGAGTGTTCGCAGGAGTGGACACATGGGAAGGGCTGGTACTTGGATTTCAGGATGATACCCTTGGAAGCTATCTTCAATCTCTCACTTACAAATCATCACTATCAAGCCCTTGTGACGCCTACGCTACAGAAATTCCTTGATCAGATTCTTGAGTACTCTGAAGATCCACCTTGGTTTGATCCGGGGCAGAAAACCACCGACCTTGCCAAGCTCCAAGACTTCAGGTGGTCTTATTTCAATGATATCCAATGGTACTACCCGAGCTTTCGTCGATGGATTATTCGGAAGAAAAGACCCACGACTCCATATTGCATTGCATTGTATCCGGACGACCCTGGAGGAAAGATTTACTATGTCGAGAGATTTTCTTGCTTCAGACGTAGCTGGCCAGTGGGCTTGCCAGAAGAAGCAAAGGAGAAATCTACTGTAGCAAAACCTTTGGCAGTGTTTGCGTCTTTTAATGAAGACGCCATCGATCTGAAGTATCTCAAGGACACTAATCAGTTGGAGATCTCAGCGAAGAATACGGATGAAGCTGGCACGATTAAGTTAGCCAAATGACAAGGGTCGATAGAAATTCTAGAAACAGCGGCGGGTTACAATGCACTACGCATGATAATAGCATGCCGAAAAACACACTTAAGAGGTTCAAGTGCTATTAAGCACTAGGTTAAGCCATACAAGGCAGTCATTCCAGAGCCGTTATGAAGTGAGTACCTTCTGATTTGGAGGTGACGACCTCGTGGGGCACTCATTTATCTTCATCGTAAAAAACATACTTACCGGGACGGCTGGATATCCCGTGCCTTCTCATCAAGACCTCACGAGCAGTTCTTCCATCTAAATCTTCAACCCAGCCAAGAATCGTTGCTATCAACCTCCAATGACTTCATTCAGCATCCAATAATCATTCTTCACCCTAATTTCCCACGTGTTCCGAACCCAAACGATCGAATTCAGGCACTTTGACAGCTAGAATACATGACCGACCTCTCTCCATTCAATCCTCCACTAAAGACTGCACACCCTATGCGTCCAGCATGTGCCCACACTCCAAAGGCATAGGAAATCACAAGCTCACATATCTCTTAAAAACGCGAGATACCCTTATCCACGCACTCCAGCCCATACTACGGGATCCAGAAGTCTCGCGCACGTCAATCTCGCTACCCCTCCCCCACCCTCCCTCCCCCTTGAGCACAAGTACACAAGTAGATTCCATACGACAAGCACTTACACTCCCATCCCATCTCTCACACCCTCCTAATACTCAACTACCGCTTTCCTGCTCAAACCCTGCTTCAAACCTTGCGCTCGACGTAAGGACAAACGTCTCCCCTTCCCCCCCACCCCCACCCACCAGCCTTCCCCTCTTTCTCCCCCGCCTGGTATCAACCCATTAGCACAACTTCCCACCAACGCGCAACCAGTCTAAGCGAAAAAGTCTACATTGCCAACACCTTGCATAGAAACCCTGAGCACGCGTAGAGGAGTGCTTGGATGCATAGACTTTTCGTACGCCGACTGGTTCTGGTAGCATTGCAGTCTCTATTATAAGGTAGGAAGGTAGGGAGGGTAGACTTAGCACACGTAACAAAACCGGGATATCTCTTGCAGAATTGGCATGGCCATAGTCGCGCTTGAAAGTCGAAAGGATTTAAGTGCCATACTTGGATCTCTCGATCTAGTGGTGTTAGCGCCTATGACGCATTTATGGTAATACGGGAAGTACTACTCGAGACGAAGTAGGCTTTAAAATCTTTTTGCGGACGAGTTAGATACGGGAGATTTATGTCAAAATGGTGAAGTGACTGCCGAGAGAACACAAAGGGAGCCATGAGCTAGCAAGATGGTACGATTAATCCATCGTACATTGCACAGTCATGTTTATGGATTACGTGTAATGACGGCAACGAGAGACAACAAGTGACGTAGCAAGTTCACGAGTAAATGGAGTCGAGATGGCGAAGTAGAATGATTGGATTGTATGCGTCTGGAATGTCCTCCAACATAGCAGCTGCCCAATAAACCCTCCTTCAACCATTTTCCCTCCTTCAAGAGTTTGCCGTTCACTGAGATTGCTCCATCCTCCAAGACTGCAGCATCCCTCAATAATACTTATGACTGCCAGCAATATGACGATCGAGCGAAAAGCAGAAAGGTCGTCAAAAGGGAAAGGATAGCTGCGGTTGACCTTAGAGCAAATGTGTCGAGGAAGGAATCTACATTCATTGTCAGTTGAAAGCAGCTAAGTGATCAAAAGAGCGACTTTCATTTGCTTTCTTTCTAGCACGCCAAATCAGAGAAATCCTTGGGATCACAGAGGAGGGCGGTCGGGAAGGCGACGGTTGCGAGAAGTCGGGGAACAGGCAGCCAAGATATGGTGTGACAGGTCCTCGGGCATCGATTGGTCAAAAGCGGGAAAGGGAGCTCGCTCGCACCGCAGCTATTGCTGAACAATGTCTGGCCTTGTATGCTTGTTCAGGCTATCCGGCATCATGGTGGTTGGTGGAAGTTTGCTGTCTGGAACCATAGCGCTGATCGAGTAGATGGCCGACTCCAGCACGCGTGACGGACCTGAAGAGGATGCTGCCCGGCACCGCAGCAATTGCCAAAACCTTTCGATGCAGTGACGATTGTCGGAGGTTGCTCTTTGTCTCCGAAAGGTAAGAGGGAGGGAAGTTTGGAATTGCAAAAAGTCAGCTATATTCTGAGTGGAGTCTAGACAAGGTGAGGTGAATACCGAAGTGGTGTTGAAACAGAAACAAGGAGATAGATGTGAGAAGACGTGAAATAATCTGCAGAGGCTATTAGCAAATTCGGATTGATTGTAGGGCGGAGACTGACAGTTATTTTTTGCTGTCATTGGCCAAACCAGGATACCTTTGGGTCAATGATCGGGTCGGAGGTACGATAGACGTATGATCAGTCGGAGGATGTAAGAGGGAGGTTAGGTTGAGTGATGGTCAAGTCTATGTGTTAGCAGACTGTCATGAGGACAGACCAGCTTCTGCATTAAGCCCGCGTGTAAAAATGCACTCCTGAGAAGGTAGATGAACAGGTTCCAAAAATTGCATCTCAATGATCAAGATCTGTCTTGAACCAGATTGTCATGAGTGACGTGATGCCCAGCTTGATTATCAAGCATGCGTGTAAAATTTGTGCACTCGGAAAATGGATAGGTTCCAAAAATTGTGTCTACATAATCAAAATCTGTCTTGAACCAGATTGTGATGAGACATGATGCCCAAGGTAAGCGTGTAAAATGATGCACTCGGAGAATGGAAAGGCTCCAAAAAATATGTCTTCATGATCAAGATCTGTCTGGAGTCAGCTTGTCATGAGTGACTTGATGCCCAAAGTAAGCGTGTAGGTTTTGTGCACTCGGAAAATGGAGAGGTTCCAAAAATTGTATGTCTATGATCAAATCTGTCTTGAGCCAGACTGTCATTAGACATAATGCCCAAGGTAAACATGTAAGATTGTTGCACTCGATGATTGGATATGTTCCAAAAATTGCACTCCTATGAGTGACATGAAGCCCAAGGTCAGCGTGTAGATATGATGCACTTGATAGATGAATAGGTTCCAAAAATTGCATGTCGATAATCAAATCTGTCTTGAGCCAGATTGACATAAGACATGATGCCCAAGGTAAGCGTATAAAAGTGATGCACTCGATATGTGGGAGAGGTTCCAAAAATTGCACTCGATGATCAGATCTGTCGTGAGCCAGATCTATCATAAGTGACATGATGCCCAAGGTCAGCGTGTAGATTTTGTGCACTCGATGAACAGGTTCCAAAAATTGCACTCGATCAGATCTGTCTTGAGCCAGACTATCATGAGTAACGTGATGCCCAAGGTAAGCGTGTAGATTCTGTGCACTCGATGAACAGGTTCCAAAAATTGCACTCAGTGATCAGATCTGTCTTGAGCCAGACTGTCTTGAGTGACATGAAGCCCAAGGTAAGCAGCGTAGAATGGATGCACTTGACAAATGAATAGGTTCCAAAAATTGCTCTTGATGATCAGATCTGTCTTGAGCCAGACTGTCATCAGCCCAAGGTAAGCCGTGTAAAATTGCACTCATAACTGAATAGGTTCCAAAAATTGCATCTCGATGATCAGATCTGTCTGGCGCCAGACAAATTGTCATGTGTGACGTGAAGCCCAAGGTAAGCAGCGTAGATTTGATGCACTCGAAAGATGGATGGATAGGTTCCAAGAATTGCCAACGCCAGACAGATTGTCATGAGTGACATGAAGACCAGCTCAATCATCAAGCCCGCGCGCAAGCAGGCTCTCCTGAGGAGGATGTAAGCTCAGTGAGCCAGTGTGTGTGATAGTAGACATTTGATCGGTTGCATTGTTCGAATGATGATGTGATATTGTAGAATCTGCGAGTTGATGTCAGTGAACGCGGACTGGGTGTGCAGAAGATGACTGACACTTCGATTCGCCGTTGTGGGCCAAACCAGGATATCTTTGGGATCGGTGAGGACGCGGGGAGGATGAGGAGGAGGACGTGGAGGAGGACGTGGAGGAGGACGTGGAGGAGGATGTGGAATGGGTGACTAGGCTTTGGTGAGGAAGAAGACGTGATGCTGAGATGTTTGCCATTCTATGAAAGAAGAGAAAGAAGATCTAAGGAGCAAGAAGTCAGACTTATATAGAAGGGAGACGGAAAAGCGGAAACCTTGAAAACTTTGCAAGTGCGCCCGCCGCAAGGGACACCGTGGAAACAAGTCGAAAGAGGCTGGCCCTAGAATTCAAGATCAATTTCCAAAGGTCAAATTCGTACAAGCCACGATGATCCACTGTCAGCAGCCAAAATCGACAATTTCAACGCCAATTTTTCGAACCTTTCGAAGGGTGAGAATTCAATGATGTGAGCATGCAGCCACCTGCTACGTTGTTTTCCAAGTATCTTCTCAGGCAAAAGCTGCTGCCTTGATGGAAAAAGGTCCCATGTACTTGAGAGCGAAAGGGGGAAATACAGAATTTAGACGTTCGTGGCGCGCGGTACCGTATTGGGAAGGACCTCCTAAGGGACGTGCCAGTCCAACATCCACACTCCAGGGAATCTTGCTCTCTACCGGGACGGGTACGGGGCTTGTTGACACGGCGACAGTGACCGTGAAAGGCATTGGCCTGAAGGGTGCATTGACCGGTGGAGCAGGATGTCAAGGTGGTGGCTCACAACGCCTGCCAAAGCCAATTGGCGCCACCCAGCCTTTGGATTTTGGATCGGTATTGCGGACTTGGAATCAGACAGTGAAGTAAGTGCTGCCCATTGAAATACAATGTGCTCACCATATTGAGCAGTGGCATGCGAACGAAAGTCTATCGCACGATCGAGGGAACATGTGTGTAGGGAGGAATGTCCAGGACGACCGGTGCCAAAACGCCACAAACATTTCCCTTGGAAGTATCCACCAGACCCACCTGCCGTACAGTCTGGTGACCTGCTATCATGGCCTGAGCGCCCGTGGCTTGAAGATCGACATCGGAGCAACGCGTTGCTACGGCTTTGGGCATGCTCGAGCCAGGAAATGAAG